ATCCACACATCATTTTCAAGGGGTTGAACCACAAATTTCATGCCACATTTTATGAATTCTTGAATGTTAATCAACAATAAAAAGAATTTTCCTAAAAAGAAAATCAATAAATAAAATTTTATATAGCCACCGTGGTGGACCGTAATCCACGTGCTCTTCACGTGTCCGTAGAATGGTCCTGACTACATTAACATTTACTTCAAACTTCAATTGGAGTAATTCATCAAATGAATATTCTGTAGGTGACTATTGAATACTGGGAGGTTGCAATTATATATATATATATATATATATATATATATATATATATATATATATATATATATATATATATATATATATAGTGAATTCATTTTGGAAGCAACTTGAGAATTATTGTGAAGGGATTTGGAGTATAAATTTGTTTATATCTATCATGAAGTAAATTATTATATCGATTGAAAGTCGGTATTTGTTCAAAATTTAGATTTTGAATTTTGAGGAACTTTTGTAATTATTTGGCGTTCGTTCTCTTTTAGCCACATATTCTATTGGAGTTTCATAATCATGCTATATGTGAAATTAAGTTAATATGAATTAACTAAAATTAATATGAATTTGGTTTAAGTTGTGCTTACAGAATTTATCTCTTATTCGAAGAAAAATCGAATAAGAACTCTTTAACCTCTAACTTTTCCCAATTGTATTCGTAACACGTTAATCAAATACTCCATATTGTTAAGTATACTGTTTTTTCAATTAAAAAAAAAAAAACAATTTTACTTTCCATTTATGGAGAAGCATCTATTCATTTACCACTGCTACTCTATTACGGAGTACTAGTTTACTACCACCCACTAGGCACTAGCCACCTAGCTACCACAAAACCATGACACAAAATTTGGAGTCCGCATGAACAGCCCAGTTGGTCATATAAGTGAAGTTTGATAATAATGACCCGAATCGAGTCTCATCGACGGAGAGGGCTCTTTGTACACAGTAAACAAATGTTTAGTCTCTGTATTCAGCTAAGTTATCATAATTTACATCAGTGTAGATTTTTGTCAGATCAGAACGTGAGGGCCATTGGCTTTAGGGATTCAAAACAACATCTTCAAAATATGAAAATATTCACGCTTACAAATTTTCGTGCATTATAAATTGCAAATCGCGACCACCTATTCCAAACTTCTTAATTAATAGTCCACATCTACCAGTTAATACTTTCACCTTCTATAGCCAACCACCTCTCGTTTGCCACTAATACTCGCCGCCATAGCCATTATTCCATACCTTAATGCCAACAAAATATCAATCCTTTCCAACCACTAATACAATCCGCTCCGCTGTTTGATAACTGCTAACATAATCCTTTACCGTTAACCGTTGATTGTCAAATAAGCCTTATTTCTATAGTACTTCGAATTAAGCATGATTTTCAAACCATTGATTACTATTTGAAAGTATGCACCAGATAAATTCAGTAAATCACGAAGAGTTTAAGTTAAATTTTGTATATATAATTTGCTTTTAGTTTATTGTTTACCCTCTATCAAAGTAGGTTAAAAGTTTAATCTATCTATATTAATTCATATGGAATTTATACTGTGTTGATTCACTGGTGTCTTTTGTATCGGATATAATTATGTCTCCTATTTATATTGTACAAGTACACTCATGCACTTTGCTACACATACAATATATGATACAACCAGACATACTATAAGTGATTATATTCAATGCAAATGGTACCATTATTAATTAACACTTTGTTTATTTTTTATTTTTTTTTTTACAAAAATGGTGATTAATAGTTAAGGCCCATGGCCTACCAAGGGAACAGGAAAGACAACTCCAGACTAGCCCAAGCTTTGGGACAGCGACCCAACATGAGGCAATGGGGTGGGGTTCAAGGTTCATATGGTCCTTCAAGTGGACATAATTGTCTCAATCTGTGGGCCCATTACAAAAGGCCACACTCATCTAGAGCCCATTCCTAACCGAGTAATACTTACACATAGAAAGTGTTTGGTTGGATGAAATAATGTTATTACAGAGGTTCGAGACGTGTAATAACGATACAAGTGTTATAGGAAAAGTAGAAGATGCTTAAATAGGACACTGAGGAGTATTTTTATACGTTCGGCCGGATCAGGCCCGGGTCACGTGGGAGGAGCCGCGGGACTCGCTCCACGCGAGGACCCGGTCTTTGGCCGAGCACGGAGCTCGGCTCGACGGCAAGCTGACCTCACGCCAGGCCGACCCCGGGGTGGTCGGACGACACCGGGTGTGCCGGTCGACCCCGGGGTGGTTCGTCACTCCGTGTGCATAGTAGTCGGGGACCCCGTGATAAGTAGACCTCCATGGTCTGTCCGGTCGCGTGTGTAGTCCACTCGGTGCCGGGTGTGATATGCTCCATATTGCTTCGCTCCGTAATTATTCTATCAGATATATTGTTCTAGAATCTATTTCTTAAGATATGATAATAATCCAATCAACTTTCAATCGGACTCCATTTGAGTTAATACTTGATTTTGTCATTGACTATAATAGTTTTTTTTTTTTTTTTTTTTTTTTTTTTATGATTTAGTTCTAAATGACTTTTTGTGCTTATTTATGTTATAGACTTTGATGGTTTTACCCAATTGAGTCATTGATTATTAGAATCAAGGACTAAATTGAGAAATTCAGTATATTCGAAGACTAACTTGGCTAAAACTACTATTGTTGACAACTAAATTGGGTATTAATAGAGGTGAAATTACCAAATTATTTTAACAGATGACTCAATTGGGAAAGCCATCAAAGTCAAGGACTTAATTAAATACAAAAAATTGTTTAGCACTAAATTGAGAAAAATCACTATAGTCAATGACTAAATTGAGTATTAACTTGACTCCATTTGGAATAACTTTCCAAATATATTAATTTGAACTTCCAACCTTATGTCTAATGTATTAATTGCAAATCTAAATAAAATTATGATGCACATAATGCACCCTGATCCAAAACCTCATGATGAGTTTGTTGACAATAATGTATCTAAGAGCATCGCTAATAATTGTAGTTTTTGCAGAAATAACTAGGAAAGAGAAGATGGGAGGGAAGAGAAAGGGGGGGGGGGGGGGGGGGGGGGGGGGGGAGCGAAACAAAGCTTAAAACCAAAAAAAAAAAAAAAAAAAAGAGGAGAAAAGCGTCATTAACCCGCCCGACTGGGCGCTGTGTTGCGCTTCACGTGACCAAGACACGAAAATCTATTTTTTTGGTGGGTCCCACCATTATGATAAAAATTAATATTTTGCAGGAAGATTTTTTTTTTTTCTCACCCTCTTTCCTTCATATAAGCATTGCTTTCACAAAAATCATACCAAAAACTTCTATTGAAGATGGCCTAAGAAGTAAGAAAGCAATAACTCATAAGAAAGCCAGATGTCTCAATCCGGGTATATGATGACCCGAATGGGCCATACTGACAATTATTTTCCAATTTTGACCTGCACAGCTGTGCTGTATCCTATCGTATGTCGGGGTGTGTGTTGAATTTCACTTGTCAGACAATTGTAAGATAATGTGGGGCCCAAAACAACACATTTGTCGCTGTCACCGCTGCTGTTGGATCCTGGCCCAAATTACATATCAGACACTCTATGTTTTGTTCTCTCGTACAGGCCCAACCCACATTCCGGCCCACTATATGTTGCTCTCAACTCTCTATATAGACAAAAGAACACACCTTGTCCGAAAAGGAGTTGCCGGGTGAATAGAACATAATTTTTATACTTAAAAATCTTAAATTTTCAATCTTTGAAAATAGTTTCTAGTTCAAGTTTGTCACATAAGGTTTTATTAGTTCTCTTGTGTGATTTGCGAGCTATTACATATGAATAAAGTTTACACAATACACCCTTGAATAATGGTTATGGATTTTCCAGTCGTCCAAAGTAATAGAGCTGGCAAATTATTTTGTAAACCCGAGTCTAAATATACACAATTTACATACTAAATGTCACAATTTATCTTTTAAAATTCACAATTAGTGAAAGCCCTGTATTGTATTCACAAATTCTCAAAACTTAAAAACACAATTTATATTCTAAATGTTCATAATTCCAATACTAAAAATACACAATTTAAGACTAGGGTCCACCTTGCAATGTAAATCCTAGTCCATGGTAAAACAAGTAACAACTGAATAGAGTTCACCTTGGCTCAAACTTGAAAATATACTAATAGATTTACCTAATGCATAGGTAATGATTAAATTTTCCCCGTCACCCAAAATAATTTAGCTCACCATAGCTCAATATTGGAGAGATATATCTAACCCATTGGTACCAAAGTGGTTGTTTCATGAGTTTATTTCACTTTTAATATTTTTAAATATTACTTCATATATTATTATTTTTATTTTACAAGAGATATTAATTCAATCGGAACTTTGAACAGACCACATTTTAAGAAATTTGATCATCAACTATTAATTCAATCAAAATATTTATCGACTAAGCAAAATTTATCCAAATAGTACAACAAAGGACTAAATTGAATAAATTTTGCACAGCAACAATATCATTTTGGATGAGTTACAGAATTAGTAATCAAGGAACAAATTGAGAAGTATGACGTAGGCCCTATTTGGTAAAAAATTGGCCTATAGGTCAATTTTGACTTATTCGACCATTATTAATTGTTTGATTTAGTTGAAATATCAATATAAGTGTTTGGTTAATTAACTTTTTGCAACTCCAAAATGCTAAAATTCAAAAAGCTACTCCAAACAACTTTTTTCAATTAACTTTTTCATAAAAGAAATTATATCAAACAACTATCAGCTAACAGCTAATTTACCAAACACTTTTCTACAACAGCTAATGTTATCAGCTAGTTATACCATCTAATTAACACAATCGGCTAACAACTAACAGTCATTTACCAAACAAGGCCTAGTCAAAACACCATTTTGAGTTTCAACTCTTTAACAAAAGAATATTGACAAAAAACCCAAATCTTGAAAATGTTAGTTTGGCAAATTCATCTTGAAAAGAATGGTCACACAAGACAAACATAGAGTGTGCAAGCTGATATACTGTTTTCCTGCATACTACAATTGATCAGTGGAAACTGAACTATGTTGCCTCAAATACTAGGTTTTTTTTTTTTTTTTTTTGGTTGGGGAGGGGGGGTGGTCAATGTTGGTTGATCAGGCTTCTGCTCCAAAGTGAAAACATACCTAATGAAGATGGAACAGAACAGACATTCATCTGAAAACAGGACTGCTGCCAAATATACCAAAATGCAGATCTTCATGTTCATCGTCGATTAGACATCTGATAACAGATATCACCAGCCTGCCAAACATTTGCCATTTGGGACGAGGATGATGATGATGATGTTAGAGAGACAGACAGAGAAGAGAATTCTAGGAACAGCATGCAAAGTGCATCAAACAAAAACCATCAAGATTCATGGGAGAATCACAGAATTCCCTTCTAAACATTACATTTGACTGATGAAAACGCGTTACAGGCTTACAGCAGACAAAGATGTTTTTTTCACTTGTTACAGAAAGTTACCAGAAACCCATCACTTCTAATCCCGGTTGCAGCCAGCATGCATGAAAACTTTGGATCAATCGTATTTGAAAAACGAAAGATCACTAGCATGATATGCAATGTACTCTCAAAGTGATATAAAAACAGCATGGTTTGTTTGGTTCAAGAAATGGGGAGAAAAAAGGAGAGTTTTTTGAAGTCTCGGTGGGATATGCATAAACAGTTGTGCTTCTAAAATTCAAGAACCGAGGAGCGAACATCTAAATCTTTGCTATTGGATCTGAGAACCGAAAGAACAGTAGAAAATGCCCCCGCTTTGGAAAATCTATATCCAGATCAAATAAAGTCTAACATTAGCCTAATCCAAAATATAAGCCCATAATTCCAGTAGATTTAAGTGCATAACTGACCTGACTAGGACTATGATGAAAAAAATTAAATAGAACGCTAGCTTGGCAATCCGAAGCTTCTTCTCAAAATCAATGACCCTGAACACTTCAGTCACATCAATGAGGTGCTGCCGTGACAAGAACCTGCAAATTTTTCGAGTCAAAACTCAGCTTCAGAAAACCCGAGCAACCACATCAAAACTGCAGATTATGAATACTGAACGAACATTATCATCAAAACGTCGGGGGAGGACAAAATTAGAGTGGAACTAAATGGTTTGAACTTTGAAACACAGCATTGAGAAAACCGAATTCACAAACTCACAACATACTCATCATAGACAGAAATAGCAGATTATAAATACTAAATGAACATTATCTTCTCCTCTTCTCCCAAATACTGTCTGCTGAACCAGTGAGCTAAGCCCGAACATTATCATCAAAACGTTTGGAGGGAGGAAAAAATTAGAGTGGAACTAAATGGTTTGAAACACAGCATCAAGAAAACCGAATTCACAGACTCACAACATACTCATCATAGACAGGAATTGCAGATTATGAATACTGAAGAAACATTATTCATCAAGAGGAAAAATGGCAGGAAACCTTACTTACTTCTTTACATTATAGTAACTGGGAAGTACTGTGAGCAAGAACAAGAACCAATGCCCAGTCACAAGAAACAAAATGCAGAATGCACCTTGCAACACAAACTCTTTGAGAATCACATTGTTTATCCTAGACGACGATTCATAAGGGTTCATGTAGTCTGCCTCCAAATCCGATAAACATACAATCTGCAGCAAACCATTCAAACCCAAGCAGTTCAAAATAAACACACAATTCATCAAGATGTTCAAATTAGCATAAAATCGAACAAAGCAGCAGCTCAAGATTCTATATTGATGAGCAAAACATAATTCATCAAAGAATTTGACAGCAAATCATGATAACTTTTGGAAAACGAGAGAAAAGAGGCGTACCTGATAGAGAATCAAGGCGATAAGGGCGATGTTCAAGAGGAAGAAGATTAGCCAGAGAATGGGTTCCCAAGCCATTGCCTTGCTTTTCGGAGTTTAATTATTAATTGTCTAATCTTTCCCAGAAAATTGAAAGCTTTTTTTACATAAACATACAGTTAGGTCAAAAACTTATCACCCTAACACAAAGGGTTTTACTTTTACAGGGTGATAGTGATAACTTGCCCAGTTGCTGCTGCGACTTTATAGACAGAGAACATACAGATACAGTAGGCAACTAAAGGAACTTTCCCAATTTTTTATTTTTAAAGAAAAAAAATTTATTATTCAATATTTTTAATTAAAAAGGTTCTTTTTTATTTTATTTTATTTTTTAATTTATTTATAGATTTACTCAGGTCTCCATAGTAGTTGAGCAGGGCGGAAGCGATGAAGCTTCAATCTTTCAGATTGAAAGGCACTGCTATTTCATGCCTAAAGATTCAATCTTGCCATCGCCAACAAGATCTCAGAGGTCAAACCGTCGCTGTAAGTGCAAGGAGGATAAAAAAAAAGAAAAAAAGAAGCTTCCTTTCTTGATTTTCCTTCAATTCAACCAATTCCCATTGTTGTTTTTGGTCTTATTTGCTTATTATTAAGATAAAGCTTTCATGGCCTTATGGGGATAGCATTTGTGAATGAGTTGCAGATTATAGGGCTTGGAAAATCTGGAATAGCGGCCACAAGGCTAGCTCTCGCAAGGGGGGCTTCTGTTGTGGCCATTGATCAAAATCTGAATGTGGGTTCACTACTTGAGGTATTATTATCATGGGGGTGAAATTATTTATGAAGCTTAATTTTATTAAGGTGTTTCTGCAGATTTTAATGTTGTGATTGTTTGCAGCAAAGTGTTGCCTTTGGGAAAGATAGTGTGAGGACAATTCTTGGTGATTTTGACACCGAGCTGCTTAGAGATGCAGATATTGTAGTCGTTTCCCCCGGGGTTCCATTGCAAAACTATGGTCTCGCCTCGCTGTTAGCTTTGGTAAAGCATGGTTTAAGCCTTTTCTTGTTCAATAGAGGAAATTACAAATTTAGAGGGTGTAGATATAGATGATGCTTTCGAGTTGCCACTCTTTCTTGTTCAATAGGAAATTACAAATTTAGAGGGTGTTGATATAGATGCATCTTTCATGTTGCCACTCTTTCTTGTTCTCTAGCTAATCGGATGATAGAAACTCCACAATCTTCATAGTATAATCCATTTTGAGTAAACACAAATATATCTTGAATCGTAATACTAAGAACTAAACTATTCTCTCGTTTCAAATATAGGGGAAGTGTGTGATGTCTGAGTTGGATTTTGCTGCACAAGCTCTTCCAACATGCACCGAGATCATAGCAGTTACAGGAACTAATGGAAAATCTACGGTTACCACATTTGCTGGGCAGGTTATTCTCGTTTAATTGTTATATTTATAAAGTGCTGTATGAAACAGATGAAGAAAATGCCTCTAAGCTGGTTTCTCGTTACTAAGGATAGGTGTTTTCAACGATTGTGAAGGTAGATGCTCAACCATTTGGGCATCCCGACATTTGTTGGGGGCAACCTAGGAGTCCCGCTTTCAGATGCTGCTTTTGAGTACTTAACTCTTTCTCCTCAACGCCCATTCCAGGTTAGTCGGAGAATTAACTAAGCTTCACATCTTTCACAGTTGTTTATGCTCAAAATGTCAATTATCGTTAGTTTTCTGATCATTCCAGTTTGCCACTTCTCGAAAATGCTAACAATGATTTAATGAAATTTTCTCAGGTGGCAGTTGTGGAGGTGAGTAGCTATCAGTTAGAAGTCCCAAACAGTTACTTTTTCCCATCGGTAAGTCCACATTTTAAAGGTGCAATGTACGTCCAGAAAGCTGTTCTTATATTTTTCGCCTTGTTGAAAGCGTATATAGGTCGCTGTGGTCTTAAATCTATCTCCTGACCATCTCGAGAGGCACAAAACAATGAAGAACTATGCAATGACCAAGTGCCGTGTTTTTTCACACATGAAAGGGAACAAGATTGGCATTCTTCCACCTGGTATACACTCAATGTTCTTGTTCAGTAATTATTATTTCTTTCATTTTCCATTTTTCTGGTTCATCATTATAACCGATGCATCTTTCAGGAAATCAATATCTGTTAGAAGCGTTAAGGGCTCATACACACGACTTCAATCCTGCTTGGATTGGCACTTGCCCTGGTGTCAAAGTAAGATACTGTATTTAACACAATGCCTTTTTGTTCTTGAATCTTGTTTTAACTTTGATGATGCAGGTAAGCATGGAGGCAAAGGTTGCCAAGTTAAAGGTTCCAGCAATAGGGTGCGATTCAGAGGTGGATTTGAGTGCACTAAGGGCAATCGGGACGCACAACTACATCAATGCTGCAGTTGCTGCACTATCAGTTACTGGATTGGATATTGGTATCAATGCGAAATCCATAGCTTCAACTATTAGTAAACTACGGGTTCCATGTCACCGAATGCAAGTTGGTAAGTAAGAGAGCATTCTCTCTTATACTATATGCCTTTAGTAGTTCTTGTTGAGCATATAGCCATTAATGTGCAATCCAACTATCAGCTTAGGCTTTTAGTTGAGATGGACCACATGCTTCAATTTGGTATCAGAGCCAGGCCACAGGTTTTACTTCCCAAACTGAAGTTTTTGTGGTTAGGAAAATTTATCAGTCTTGCCATGCAGTTCATGTTGATAACAATGGCGTAACCTGGATTGATGATAGCAAGGCAACGAACGTTGAAGCTATGTATTCTGGGGTGATGGGTGTCAACCAGAAGGCGGTTCTTCTCCTTGGTGGCGTTGCAAAGGTTTTGTAACTTTGCTGGTTTAGTCACTCGTTACACCAAATGCGTTTCTTTTTTATGATGTTTGGTGCCTAAAAGGTTATGTTTTCGTTTTTCGTTTTTCGTTTCCTTCTTTTTAGGATACGAAAATGGAAGGTTTGGATGGCTTCGAACAGCTGGTGGAGCCTCTGAAGCGCCATAGAGGCGTAATCACTGTATGTAATGGCTTTTGGGTTTTATCAGTTTATGAATACTGTATGCAATTCACTTCTGCTTTTAATGATTGCTTGAGGATCATAAACAAGAAGTTTTTGGTTCATTTGTAGTTTGGATCTTCAGGGATGATGATTCAGAAGACACTCTATGCTAATGGTGTAACCATTCCTTGTTTAAACACTAAACATCTCAAGGATGCAGTGTGCCTGGCAAAGAAAATTGCCCAACAAGGTCTGTCCTTTTTCTCTGCTACCCCTTTGTTCTAATGTCTGCTTCTAAACCAAATCAAGCTTATAGAGTGCACATCAGAGATTACTTCCTGTAACCACTACTTGAAGGTGTGCACCGGGTAGATCCCACCTTGTCATTCTAGCCGGCAAAGGGCACTATGAGGCAATGTTGAAAAAATCGCTAGGCGCTCTCTAGGCGCCTAGGGACCTCCTAGGGCGCCTAGGAGGCCGACCTCCTAGGGCGCCTAAGCGGGCGCCTAGGAGGCCGACCGCCTAGCGTCGGCGCCTAGGCGCGATTTTTGCAACACTGTTATGAGGTAAACTAATCTAGATTGCCCATAGTTGACCAGCTCAAATAAACCAAAAAGACCAATTGACAGCTCCCGTTGAGAGTCGACTTGCAACTTGTGGCTATCTTGCATGACCAACTTGGTTGGGGTTGGCCCAACACTTACTAAAGCAGGGTTGTCCAAAGCCGCTTTCTTAAGAGATAGAGTAATCCTCACTCGACAGCTCAAAGCTAACCAGTACAAAACAATGTGACCTGTCCTCGTTTACATACCCCACTGGCTTATTTGTACAATTGTACCCAGCTACATGAAGGAACTCCCCTCGCCCAATGGTCACTAGACAATGCTAATGCAACTGCAAGATCAGAGGATCGACTCTTGTACGTGTGCGTCATGTTAAAAACTCCTGAATTAGGCCTTACCCTCGAGTAAGAGTCAAACTCAACCTGAATTAATATTTAGTGGGAAAACCGGGTGTTATACGCAAAAAAAAAAAAAAAAAAAAAAAAAAAAAAACGCATAGACATGCTAACCTGAATCTTGAACATTTATCTACCTCTAGATGAATGCCAGATTGTTTCTCAATGTAACTGCATCTTCTTGGTTCAAGTACAGGTGATGCCATTGTACTGAGTCCAGGTTGTGCTAGCTTTGATGAGTTTAGAAATTTTGAGCACAGAGGGGAGACCTTTCAAGAACTGGCTTTCTCATTGCAGTGATTTTCTTGTGGGATTTGCATATACAAGTTCTTGTATTGCCACTAATCTAATGTCTTTTGTAGTATCAAATGGTTTCAATTTGAGAACATATCATGATTCTCCAATGTAAAAATTGTTTGTTACTATAATATTCATTGTTTTTAAATACATTATTTTTTTAAAGTTTACAATAATATATTACATAATTTGGAAGTTTTGTTTATACACAACATTTGGTGTTGAAAAACTTAGACGATTGTGAGATCACTTAAAGGTGTGCTTGAAAACTAGAAAAATGACTTTAAAAAAATATTTTTTGAAAAATGAGTTATTTTTTAGAAAACATCTTCATTTCTCGTGTTTGGTTGCATTTTAGAAAATTATCTTTGTGTGTTAAGTTCATTTTCTGAAAAATATGTATAATTGTATAATTAATTTTTTAATTGTTGTCTGAGACGGGCAGACGGCAACGGTCGTCCGTCTTCCAGATCTAGATCAAACTTGAGGTCCAGATTTGGAACGAGGGCGGCGACAACGGCCATGGCCGCCACCCTCATTCTAGACAGTCATGGTCGTCATGCTTAGACAACACCGGTAGTTCCCTCATTCTAGACAGTCACGGTCATCATCCTTAGACATCACCGGTAGTTCTCTCATTCTAGACAGTCATGGTCGTCATACTTAGACAACACCGGTAGTTCGACGATGATAGCCGGTGTTGTAATTTTTTTTTTTTTTTTTATGTAAAAAAAGACGCATGTCAAAATTTTGAAGAAATAAATAGGTTAATTTGAACTTAATTGAAAATTTTACAGAGATCTGAATGAAACTTTTTGTACTTAAAATATCCAATTGCACTATCCACTTGACTTAGTGATGAATTTGACTTTTTTTTTTTTTTTTTTTAATTTAAACCCTAATCTAAAAGATGGTTTTTTAAATTTCGGGTTTCCCGTTAAAAACGACAGCGTTTGGAAGTTTTCCATCTCACTGTCTTCTGTGAACTGAAAGCCACATCATCTTCAACCACCGATTAGGACGACCAAGAAGCTTGAAGAAACTCCCAGTAGAAATTTTTTTATTTTCATTTTCATCTTCTATTTACTGTCGAGTACAACTCGAAAAACGGAAAAAAAAAAAAAAAAAATCCCTTTCTGCTTCAACAATCAATATTCCGAATATGAACCGGTGATTCTTTGCTTCAATAACGTTGCATTTCTTACTTGTGATATTCGCCTTAACCTCGTTGATGTTTGATCCAACATTCTATTACTGCTCTACATTCATTTCTTTTCTTCCCGGGTATGTCTTCTTGTTCTGTGTCTAATGCATATCCTTTTGGAGCTTCAGCTGCTTTTATTTTTCACGTAATCCTCTTTAATTAATTGTATGTTTCTGTGGTGCCCATCTGTCTTTTTTATATGTATATGAAGATTCTGTCTGGTTTTATTATTGTTATTAATTGAATGCAATGAGTTATGAGTGGTTGGTTTCAGTTGATGATCTTTAAAAAAGAAATGATGATACCTTAAATGAATGTCATTTAGGTGGTAATTGTGTTTCTGTTGTTAAGGGTTTTATAAGGGTTTTGCTGGTTTTCTTCATAGATGGTCATGATGCATTTAAAAATTGGGTAAATAGGTACAATCACTATTGGAAATTATGGAATTTCCGACCACTTGAAAGTGATTTAAATCAAGTCGAAAGGCCGAAAGCCTTGTTCCGACCATTTTTGGTATACGGAAAAATCTTTGTTGCTATTTCCGATCACTTTTTGCTTTCGACTTAAAATCACTTTCAGGTGGTCGGAAATTTCAGAATTTCCAGCAGTGAATTGGAGGGGGGGGGGGGGGGGGGGGGGGGGAGGGGTGAAGAAAGAAGATTTTTTGCTGATGAGGAGGAGAAAGTGTATCTGGGGGGTACTCTAGAGCTGGCAGGGTTCAGATTAACAGTGTAATTAGAGGTCCTGTTATTGGTTCCAATTCCCAAATAAACAAGAAAATACTCCCCGGAAGTGATGACTGGGTGAAACACGATTCTCTTACATTGAGGTCCAGTCAAGAGTTTGATTCTTGCCAATGCTCTCTCAGTTGAATCCGTCACGCAAGTGCCCATCACGCCCAAGAAAAACAAGCAAATGCGTATGAATCAAAGTTTCCTTTTGATTAGGTGATCCGCAAGAAGCTGCTTTTGATCCGCTAGAAGTTGCTTTTGCTCCGATGGATTGCGTTATGTGAAAGAATTGTGTTTGTTTTTTTAACGGTGGCTGTAATGAGTATTTTTTTGGCAAGTAATGTCTTAAAAGCAATCCGCTTAGATTAGATCTACACGCTATTGTTGATCTGAAATGGCATTTGTTGATAGATCAACAAGGAGTTTTCTATATATATTTTGCATTTCTCTTTCTAGAATTAGTATACCAAAATGAGAATCAAATTCATTGTAAGCGGAATGGCTTTTGAGATGCATAGTTTTCTGAATTTGGTCTAATCTCCAATGTGTGTTTGCAGGCTATATAATACTTTGCATCTGTACTAAAACCCGATCAACCATTGTGACTTCTACTATTACGGGAGGTATGCCAACATGAGTATCTGCTCCTCTATCAAATCTTGTGTAAAAAGTATAGTCTGCTTAAGAGGGTGCCTCGAGGGACAGATGAACAGCCAATTCTGTGATACAGCTCGCAGTTCATGCTGTTTCCGTATCTCTGTATGGCATCCAAAGTTTAACTATGCAACTGTTTCTTCATCGAAGCCCAACTGCAGTGCACCAATCACCTTTCAAGCGTTCCGAAGAAGCTTTGGACCGACCATCTCCAAGTCGAAGGATGGCAATCAGTCCTTAAAATTTACATCTACAGTTAACTCCGCTGGTTCCAGGAAGACTTGTCTTGATATTTCAACCGGGACCCAAAACATGAATATGAAGCTTTTGATACCTAGTCAAGCAAAGAGTCACGGTATCAAATTTAATTTGGGACCCAATTCTTGGCCGCAGTTCTTTACCTCTGTTGGTTTGTTTAGTGGATTGCTGGTTTGCTGTTCGAATTCTGGACGGGTGCATGCCAAATCCGTTGACCATATTGAAAATAAGGAAGATGGGTCCGATTCTTCGTTTCTCGCTTATTCACATGGAAAGGAGGTTCATACTGACTATTCTGTGACTGGTGAGTTCATGTTCCAAAACTTTTATACTTCCTGTATTTATCGAAGGGAAAAGTATGAGTCTTTGATGGTGTTCATTGTTGAGCATATAACCATTAATGTGCAATCCAACTATCAGCTTAGGCTTTTAGTTGAGATGGAGCACATGTTTCAATTTGGTATCAGAGCCAGACCAAAGGTCATGGTTCGAATCTCTACGTCACCCGATAAGCGACTACAGTCCACGTGGCATAGGCTTTTAGCTCAAAATATATATTTTTTAGTTATCTGTCAACTTATAAAATTAATAATAATTATTCCATCCTGTGCAGGTATACCCGGGGATGGAAGATGCATGTTTCGATCTGTTGTTCATGGAGCTTGTCTAAGATCAGGAAAGGCGGCCCCTGATGAAAAACTTCAAAGGCAATTAGCAGATGAATTAAGAGAAAAAGTATGTCTGCTCTTCATATACTTAACGATTAACAATTCATAATCTAAATGTGCCCTTCACTCTGATCAGGTGGCAGATGAATTTATTAAGAGACGGGAAGAGACAGAATGGTTAGTATGGTGCAACTTTTATAATTAAGTTTCCTGTTACAAAGATTCTGTTTTTATGCAACTTTTATAATTAAGTTTCCTGTTACAAAGGATTCTGTTTTATAATATATACAAATCTTTGCCAATTACGTATAGATTCAAAGTTCAAACTCAAAAATCTTGCAGGTTCATTGAAGGTGATTTCGACAAATACGTTGCACAAATGAGGAAACCTCATGTATGGGGAGGTGAACCTGAATTGTTAATGGCTTCTCATGTTCTCCAGTAAGTTCGTTTGTGTATTATGATTAGAAATGAATTATATTTCCACAAGCAAAACCGAAAAGATTGATGATATTGAACTTAATCCCAATGATTTTCACAATTGTAGGATGCCAATCACAGTGTACATCTATGACCAAAAATCCCGCGGCCTAATATCAATTGCAGAGTACGGGCAAGAAGAGTATGGCAAAGACGACCCTATCAAGGTCTTGTATAATGGCTCTGGTCATTACGATGCACTGCAGATTCCTGGGACGAAAGGCACGAGATCGAAACTGTAAGATGTAACAGCACACCCCGTTTTGTTTTTAAGTCGTGAAAGACCTTACAGCCAAGCTGGCTGACTAGTTATATGTTTCTTTTTCACATTTTTATTATATATATAGCCTTACAAATGCCAATCATATCAGTAATTGTCAGATCTTCTTTGATAATAAGAGTGAATTCTGTGATAGTTCAGACAAATGCATGGTTGTCTATGATGTTTTTCATTTCATGACATGTTTGGTTGATTTTATCTCTACATTATGCCAAAACTATGCACTTGATTTGGGGGATTTCTTGGCTTTCTCAGTGTATATGTAGTGGTTGATTGTCTTATTGCAACTCCTGGACCATTTTTCTCTTCTGGTCCACTTAAAATGTCCTTAGAAAGGAAACAACTTATCATTGTTTAAAGCATATATCTCATGAGATTATAACTACATAGTCCTTGGGAACCAAAGTCAAGTTGGTCAGATTATTGACTTGTAACTATAAGATTATAAGTTTAACTCGATAGCACCAAAACTGGTAGAAAAAGAGGCAACCCCGACCAAGTTGGTTGGACTGTTGACTTGGTAACCACAAGGTTCTAAGTTCGACTCCCAATGGAAGCAACCTATTGACCTTCTTGATTTGAACTGGTCAGCTATAGGCAACTTAGGTTGGTTTGCCTCCTTGTGATCCTTTACCTGCTAGGGTTACAAGGTGGAGTTTAACCAATGCATACGAATAGTGGCTGCGAGTTTCCGAATTTCAAAATTTGTGAATGCATAATCTCCAAAAGGCCAAGAAGATGAATGCTTCATCTCAAGAAACACCAAATTGGAGCATTTCCACATAATGGTCATACTACCACCATCAATAGCATCAAAATTGGTAAGGAAGTCCCAATTTCAAAATCTGTGAAGCAAGTTTTTCAGTCAGGCTAGCTGTCCCACCATTAAAAGAGGATTAGATATACACAATTGCCATTAGTGGATACTGGACATTATGAAAAACAGCACCAAAGCATGTGTCTTTCTTGAATTTTCAACCCTACCATTACAAACAAAAAAAAAAAAAAAAAAAGCCCCATGATTTTACATTTATCAGGTCTCATAATTAAGCACTTTGATTCATTGCTGTAGTTTAGCAGTTGACTTGATGCCTTTTTGCATGTTTCTTTTGGAGTTTATTTATGTGCAATGCAGCTCAAAAGAGCTCAAACCCTATCTTTAATTGAATGGACCACAAGGCAGTAATGAGTGAAACTTTTTCCCATCAATGTGTGGTTTCTGCCACTGTATTTTTTTTATCTTTTGGTTAAATACAACTGCACCAACTTTCATGTAAGTCCAATTCCTGGTTGATTTTGATTGAGAGAAAACTAAATCACAAATACAAGGCGGAACAAGATCCCAAACCCTTAATGCCTAACGAGCTGTTCGGCAGGATAAAATTGTAATTTCATTCTACCAAATTTCATGATTTGGTTGGAAGGAATTGTCTGCAATCATGGAATTGCAATTCTTAGAATTCCCTATAAATTGCAATTCCACAATTTATAGAATTGTAATTCAACAATGAAATACTATTATTATTATTACTATTGTTATAATACAAAGACATTTTATTCGTCGTATAATTATCAGCGATTACTAATAATTTAAGTTCCATGCACTCGAGTTGCAGTCTACAATTTGAAATAAAAAATGGTTTTTTTTTTTCTAAAAATATTTTTCTAATTTAAAAATAAATAATAAAAAGCAAAAAGTTAGCTTGTTAGTTTATTTGAGCAGGTTTCTATTGTCAGTTGTTTCACAAAAGACAGCCAAAATTTTATGAGACATATTAAAAAACAAAAGGATTAGATACAGACAGTCACCACCCTATTGTCCTTCCCATTGGATTTGGTACACTACTGTACCAAAAATTTACTAATATCCTGTGTAATTTTTAATTATTCATAATATTAAGTTTATTATTAGCATATAAAATTTATATACTTAAAACTAACATTAAAAATATTATTTAATATAAAAAAATAAAAATAATTAAAAATTACTTAAAAAAATAAGCAAAGAAAAAGAAAGTTAGTTTGATCAAGTAAATATGATAGTAAAATGGGTTAGATGGAGTATAATACAATTATTCAGTAATTAAAAAACTGTAATTAAAACTCACTTTGAGCGGTAAGATGAGAGTTCGAATCTCTACGTATTAGCAAAGTGATGGGATGTTTGGTTGGGAGAAAGAAAGAATTGTAAAAATTATTAGAGATGAGAAGAAAAAAAGTGGTATAAAGACTAAAATGTTTGTATGTAATAATAATAATAACAATCACCAAAAATACTTTTATCATTTCTTTTATTTTTTCCTTTCCCATAAGCATTGACTGCAAGTCTTTGATGATCTTGGTTTTGCTATTATGGACTGCAAGTCTTTGATGATTTCTTTTGAACTTTGTTCCATTTTTTCCATTCCTCGTACTTCGAATGTTATGGTTCATACTCTAGCGAAAGTTTGTAATTTAATTTCACAGGATTCTTTCTTATAGTGGGACACTGTCTCTACTAACTCTATTTTAGAATTCTTGATTTAACCTATTATCTTTTTCCTCTAAAAAAAAAAAAAAAACTGTCTTATCAATTCAAAAATGCTTCATTTGATAAAAGAAAAAGGTAAGGAAATTTGAACAAGTGTATGGAAATGGCAGGCTTAACAGGCTTTAAGCATGTTGAGACAATGAATGAAACAAAGCAAAGATAGTCTCACCAATTTCTAAAACCCTGCAGTGATAGCATTGAAAACAACACCTAATAACTAAAGAACTACTAATCTTTAATCTTTAATTTTAATCTTAAACCAAACATCATAAACAACAAGAAACAAGCATTAAGCCTATAATACTGTTATTACAGACAGAACCAAATTCAAAATCTTTGTAGTCAGTTCAAGAAAAAACCATAATACGTCACATGTTAGGACAAACAATAACCCACTCTCACTCTCACTCTCTTCTTCTCTTCCGCAGTAACCTGCTCTTGGTTGCAGAAAATCCCTAGAAATCTGGTTTCCCATGCAAAAGATTGAATCTTTTTTCGCTTTTTTTTAATTCGATGGTGTGAGAAAGATTCAATCTTTGATTCACTGATATGAGGAATTTCAGTGGGGATTCCCCATTTCTGGGTGTAATCTTCTTTTTGGCGGTGGGTGTTTCTGTATCTTCGGCTCTCAGTTCAGATGGGTTTTCTCTCTTAGCTCTGAAAGCTGCCATTGTTTCCGACGAATCTCAGGTTCTAGGGAGCTGGTCGGAATCGGACTCGTCTCCTTGCCGGTGGGCTGGGGTGACGTGTGACCATAACCACCGAGTCACCGCCGTTTCCCTATCCAACGGCAACCTCACCGGCTACATTCCGTCGGAGCTCGGTGCTCTCTCCGCTCTCTCCTCTCTTTCCCTCGCCTACAACAACTTCTCCGACCCCATTCCGGCGAATCTCTTCAACGCCTCCTCTCTTCTCTCCCTTGACCTCTCCCACAACTGTTTCTCCGGGCCCTTGCCGCCTCAGATCGCCGCCCTCACTAACCTCACTCACCTCGACCTTTCTTCCAATTTCCTCAACGGGTCTCTCCCCCCGGAGCTGAATGCCCTCTCCAACCTCGCCGGAACTTTGAACCTTTCGTATAACAGGTTTTCCGGGGAAGTTCCGGCGTCGTACGGACTGTTCCCTGTAGCATTGAGCCTGGACCTCCGTCACAACAATCTCACCGGGAAGATACCGGCAGAAGGGTCGCTGTTGAACCAGGGACCCACCGCGTTCTCCGGCAACCCATACCTCTGCGGATTCCCGTTGGCGACCCCATGCCCAGACCCAGAAGCCCAAAACCCAAAAGCTTTCCCGAACCCGGAAAACCCACAAAACCCGGATTTTTCCCCAAATGGGCATGCAGATAGAGGGAAACAGAGACTCAGGTCGGCGACGGTTTCTTTAATTTCCGGCGTGTCCATCGTGATCGGCGTGGCGTTTGTCTCACTCTGGGTATTCCGGAAAAAATGGAACCTCACCGAGGGCAAAATCCGGAAAGAGACTCTGGGCATGACAACAGAGGCGCCGGCGAGCGAACAAGGGCAAAAGGGGAAATACATCGCCGTAGACGAAGGGTTCGCGTTGGAATTAGAAGATTTGCTGAGGGCATCCGCGTATGTAGTCGGGAAGAGCCGGAGTGGGATAGTCTACAAAGTGGTGTCCGGCGGCGGGAGGGCCACGGCGGCGAGCGGCGGCGCCACCGTGGTCGCAGTGAGACGGCTGAGCGAAGGAGACGCCACGTGGAGGTTCAAAGAGTTCGAAGCAGAGGTTGAAGCCATTGGAAGAGTCCACCATCCAAACATTCTCAGACTCAGAGCATATTACTATGCCAGTGATGAGAAGCTTCTGGTTACTGATTTCATCTGCAATGGAAGCCTGCACAATGCTTTACATGGTAAAACATCATTCCTCTTCTTTCTTGTTCTTCGAACATTCGCTCTTAGGTGACGTAGAGATTCAAACTCATGACCTTTGATCTGGCTTTGATACCAAATTGAACCAAATTGAACGCATGTGCTCCATCTCAACTAAAAAAGCCTAAGCTCATAGTTGAATTGCACATTAATGGTTAAACAAACTGGACTGTATTCATTACTCAAAATCTCCAAGAATGCGTTTTGATGTGTGTTAACTGTTTGCTGTTTTGTGTTAATTACTCAAAATCTCGAAGAATGCTGCATTGTGATTGATATAAGACTAATGCGTTTTGATGTCTGTTAACTGTTCTGTATTCATTATTTGAAATCTCGAAGAATGCTGCATTGTTATTCATCATTGTTGATTCTGGGCATTCGAGATAAGATTTCGTAGAGGTGCATATTAAATTCATAGTGCCCACATCTTGTATAGTTTGGAACTTTAGATTAATGCCTCATAATGGGACATCAATTGCCTGTCGGACCGCTGACATTTACTACCTGTGTACCTTAGACAAAGTATTCTCTGGGAGGGTAAGTTAATTAGAAAATGGCTATGAGATGGGAGTATTGCTGGAAGTGGAAAAAATGGTACTCCGTTTTTGACAAAGTATTCGTTCTGTTATGGTTATGGGATGACTTTGCGTGTATAGTTTAGGAATATAAACCTTGTAGAGTAAATGTTTTCTTGAAATCCCGGTTTATCTTTGTATTGTACTATAAAGAATTAAAGATTGAGGTATTTTTGTTTCCCCCGACATATTGTCTGTTTGTTTATGTTCGTGTTTAACTGTTGCAGGAGGACCTGGGGTTTCCTTGCCAACACTGTCATGGCCGGCCAGATTGAAGATCGCCCAAGGCATTGCTAGGGGTCTGGTGCACATTCACGAGTGCAGTCCCAAGAGATACGTTCACGGGAACATAAAATCCTCGAAAATCCTCCTTGACGACGAGCTGCAGCCTTACGTCTCCGGTTTTGGGCTAACCCGTCTTGTGTCGAATGCCTCGAGGCTCACGAGCTCAGCTTCGAAAAAGATGAACTCCAGCAATCAGGTCACGGTAAGCCCGAGAAGCTCGGCCTCGCCATCCCTTGCATACAAGGCGCCTGAAGCCCGTGTCTCGGGCAGCAAGCTGACACAGAAATGCGATGTCTACTCCTTCGGGGTAGTGCTTCTGGAGATCTTGACCGGTCGAGTGCCAGAGGGAGGTCCCGAGGAGGATGGCAAGGGGCTAGAGGACACGGTGAGGAAGGTTTTCCAGGACGAAAGGCCGCTGTCGGAGATCATAGATCCCGCGCTCCTGCACGAGGTTCAGTCCAAGAAACAGGTTGTCGCAACGTTTCACATTGCCTTAAACTGCACAGAGTTTGATCCGGAGTGTCGGCCTAGGATGAGAACAGTTGCTGAAAGCCTAGAACGCATCGGTTTGCAATAAGAAGAACATGAAACTGGCCTTTCTCTTTTGCTGGCAACTAATGTTTATAGGTATTCCTAGGATGTATGTGATTCTTGTTTGTACTACATTGAAACATCAATGGTGATTTGAATTAGTGTTGGTTGGATTGAAAAGACTCAATTTTTTTTGGGTGGGGGGAGAAAATCTTGGCAATAACCCAGCAGGATCTTGACTGAAATGGGCAAACATGGACGGAGATTTAGGGTTAATTCCGGGGAGGGGGCCTGAGAAACGGCTACAATATCCATGGAAGGCAGCAGACGCCCAAATTATCCAATCGAGACAGAAACCCTAGGTCTTTCGTCTACGTCTCCAATCTTGAAGCGACAATCGGACTTCCACTCCACTCAGACTTCATTATCCAATCGAGACAGAAACCCTAGGTCTTTTGTCTACGTCTCCAATCTTGAAGCGACAATCGGACTTCCACTCCACTCAAGACTTCAAGAATTATGGCGCAGCGGTTGTTGCAAAACTTTGGGTGCGAGCCTGGGCGGAACGGCCATCGATGCAGATCTTGGTGGTAGTAGCAAATATTCAAAGTGGGCAATTATATAATCATGAGAAAAAAACATGAGCATGTTTACTCAATACACATTCTTGGATAATGGTTATATATTTTTCTGATCACTTAAGAATTTACCTAATCCACATTTTCAAGTTATGTTTGTTGGATTTTCTGGTAACCTAAAGAAAGATACACAAAAGCAACTACATGTCCACCAAAAAGTCACTCTAACCACATCCTTGAAGAGAAGATTACTTGATCCATTCCAAAAGATAATCAAAGGGTTGAATTAAATTTGTATATATTATTCCTCATTTTTACTCCTTTTATAATTAATTCCCAATAGAAAAAGAATTAGCATAACAAAATAAAAAAATAATAATAAACAATTAAAATAAGTTAAAATACAAATGGTATAAATTTTTGGAGCCCAATAAACTATGAAAATGTTTTGGAAATAAACACGATTTGGGCTCACAGCAATAGTCCAGGCTGGTAGACCCACGAATTCCAAGGACACTAGGCTTTAATGAAAGGAGTCACGTGTGAATGACCCTATATTGAGGAAAAGTAAACAAATAATATAATAAGAATTTTGCAGCTATGCACTTTGTTGTCAAATGCGCAAATTATGTTGTGGATCTGTGTCAACAATACATTATGGACACGAGTCCAAAACGACGTCATTTTCAGGAAAAACACGTCATTCTAGTTTTAAAAAAAAAATTAATTTTGTCTCGTCGTTATTTGTTTGTGTCATTATGAATGTACAGTTATGGAATTATGAATGTACAGTTATGAAATTATGAATGTAAGTTATAAAATTATGAACACAGAGCTCTGACATTATGAATTTACAATTATGAACATATAGTGATAAAATTATGAACATAGAGTTCTAAAATTGTGAATATGGAACTTCAAAAATTATGAATTTACAGTTATTGAATTATGAATGTACAGTTACGGAATTATGAATGTACCGTTATGCAATTATGAATGTACAATTATGGAATTATGAACACAGAGCTCTGACATTATGAACTTACAATATGAACATATAGTGATAAAATTATGAACATAGAGCTCTAAACTTGTGAACAAAGAGTTTCGGAAATTATGAATTTACAGTTATTGAATTATGAATGTACAGTTATGCAATTATGAATGTACAGTTATGCAATTATGAACACAGAGCTCTGACATTATAAACTTACAATTATGAACATATAATGATAAAATTATGAACATATACTCATATAACAAAGTGATATACAATTATAAAATTAAAAAAAAAAAAAGTGGAAGAGAACGATGCCACTAATCGCATCGTTACCGTGTCCAGCATGCATGCTGGACACATATCCATAGCATAACGATTGGCTCAAATGACACATCTATAACTTCCTTTAAAAGAAGGTCACAAGATTAAACCCGGGTTCTAGTATTCAAAAAAAAAAAAAAAAAAAAAAAAGGATTTTGCAACAAAAGAAAAAAGAAAAAAAGAAGAAGAGTAATATAATAAAGTAAATACTACATGAACTCTTATTTCAATAGTGAAAAACAACACTAATGTCACTAAACAACAAGGTATTTGACATTTTATGATTTACTTAATTCAATAATTTGTTAGCTTATAATGACTAATGCTCTGTTTGGTAGAGCTTATAATATATTTTAAACTATAAATACGTTATTTAGCTCTAGTAAAACATAGGAAATTTTAAATAATACTCTGTAATTTATTTTGATACGCTATCCCATGTATCGTTTCAAAATAAATACTTGACTCTTTTTTTTTTTTTTTATCCTTATTAATTTATAAAAATAACATCATCTACCCTTTAATCAAATTCTTTATATCTTAGTTTATCTTTTTATGTATTTTTACACTTATCAATTAATTCAACAATTAATTTGATCAAATACTTTAATTTCAATTAATTAATTTATTAGCTACTAGCTTTTCAACTTTTAACTTCAAGCCAAGTATATTAAACCGCACCTAAGAGTGATAAGGAGCTTTAAGTTTACAGTTCTACTTATTTACTCCATGTACTCCCAAATCTTACTCCCTCAAATTTACTTAATGATGTGACGAACGCTGATATGTTATTTTCTTGGACCGTTATGCTGTGCATCCGTATGCACCATGCATGGTGCATCCGGATGCAAAAAACGACGTCGTTTTGACGTCTAACTTAAAAAATAATAATTTAGAATTGAATAACTATACATCCATAATTTCATCACGTCCATAATTTCATAATTATACATCCAGAATTACATAACTACACATCCATAATTTTATAACTATAAATCCAGAATTGCATAACTACACATCAACTTCATAACTATACATCCAGAATTGCATAACTACACATCCATAATTTCATAATTATAAATCCAGAATTGCATAACAACACATCAATAACTTCATAACTACACATCCAGAATTGCATAACTATACATCCAGAATTTCATAAGTAAAAATCCTGAATGAATGAACTAAAAAATGAATAACATAATGTTGTTGCTGGGAATCGAATTTAAAAAAGTAAGAAGCGCGTTTTGATGCAAAACGACGTCGTTTTTGCATCCGTATGCACCATCCATGGTGCATACGGATGCATAGCATAATTTGCCTATTTTCTTTATGTGAGCCCGGTAAAAGTGTTTACATCAAAATTTTAAATATGAGAATAAAAATGGGAATAGAGAATGGAGTACATATAGGTTGTTTGGTAAAATATGTAACATATCAGTCAATTTTAGTTTGTTTGACCACTATTAGCTGTTTGACTTGGAAACAATATGAGTATTTGATTAATTAGCTTTTTGTAACAACTTACTACTCGAAAACAATAAAAATTCAAAACAATATTTTTTTAGATCAGCTTTTTGAGAAAGCCATTTTATGTTTGGTAAAATAGTTAACCTATCCGTGAATTTTGGGTTATTTGACCACTATTAGTTGTTTGACTTGATTAAACAAACTATATAAGTGTTTGGTTAATTAACTTTTTGTAACATCTTATTATTCCAAAAGGCTAAAACTCAAAAAATTGCTCAAATCAATTTTCTCGATTAGTTTTTTAAAATAGTTATTTTGCATATAATCAGCTATCAATTAATTTACCAAACATCTTTATACAATTAACTAATATTATCAATTAATTAAACCTAAAAATCCAATCAATTAATAACTATCAACTAATCGCTATTTACCAAACACCTCCATTTTATTTTCTCTAAGTTCAAACTTAATATAATAATACAAATGAAAATAGAAATAAGTAAATAAATAATAGGACGTGGAAGGGGATGTGGGATCACGTGTCCATGTTTCCCTCCACACAACACCACAATCACGGGTGAATTAAGTGAGCACTCAGAGTAAAAATGTCTTTTTTTTTTTTTTTTTTTTTCTGAAAAGAAACAGTAAAAATGTTATTTTCACTTGTACCATTTTGATGATTTGATTACTTAATATAAGAAGGTTCATGATTTTTATTCATTCTTTTTTCAATAAAATTTGAACATTCAGTGAAAGTAAAAGTTTAAGAGTAGATTTTTGAAGTTTAAGTAGTATTTTTATCTTAAAGTATTAGTGAAGAAAGTGAATAGCGAAATGTATCTTAACTAACTCAGAACTCCTAAAATGCTTATACATTATTGTCAAGAACAAAACTAATTCAATATTTCCCTTTTATGAATTGTCTAAAATATTGATTTTCGCCTCAACTATTCATGTTCAAATTGGATGCCCAATCAACCCTGAGACTCAATAAAAGAGATGACTAATCCGAATAGAGGAAGCCTCTTGTGCGCAAAAATATACAATATGTGTTGAGAACTTGAAGGATCAAAATTATTCTGACGAAACTACGATATTTGATGTCAATCAAAAAATAAAATATTAATTTTCAATCCATCTAAGATGCATTTGGAATAAAGGTATAATAGTTAAAACTAATTTTACTAGACCTCAAAATTTAAATCCAAGACCTTTGATTAAGTTGTCAAATCTTAATATAATATTTAGAGTAGGCAGACAGCAGAGATCCAAAAGGAGATATGATTCACGTGGCGTGCTGAAGAAAGGGGAGCACAAATCCAAACAGTTTTTGCTAATCAAATGTATCCTTAAACGGCATAGGATTGAATTTAGCGACCAAACCCCCCTATGTATTCCGACAACTAACTTTATTCTTCAAAGATTTATATATATTATGTTCCTCCATCTAAAGTCTAAACACCATCGGGAATCATCATATTCATATATACTTACTTGGATTCTTGCTTTCAATAATATCGCCCAATCTTTCCTTATTCTCCTCCCTTTTCTTATCTTTAATTCCATTTCTCTTTTGCGATTTCTTCTCATCATGATATGCATTATTGGTAATATAATTGATTCTCGAGTGATATATATATTTTTCGGGTGATAAAAAACCGCAATCATTTTGTAAGAGTGTGCACTGGGTAATACTTCAGTCACGTATAATAACTAGCAAACCACACACGAGAGATATATATATCAAACTAGGAAGACCATAGACCATGTGTGACGAGTTTCACAGAAATAGTGTTTGATCAAGTGATCTCTCATGCATTGATGCTCCATCACACTCTTAAACAATTCAGAACAGGCTCATGAGGTACTCACCAGTTAACTACTGATCTTTACTAATTTGTGGTGCGATCAACTAATTCATGGTCAATTTTAAAAGACTTACACGTACAGTTGGTCACGTTAAGAAGTAAAAATTAGTTAGAGAATGATAATAGAACGAAAATTAATAATTTTGTTGTTGACTAGCTTAGCTTTATAGATTCATGTTCTTCATTAGCCATTATTGAAGCATTATTTAATGGTTGATAGTGTTGATTAGAGGCATCCGAATAAGCTTTCAAAGGGCAAAGGGATAAAGAACAAATTCAATTTTGTGTATAACCAAAAGGAGGTCAACTTTATGAAATATCTAGAGAGGATGGGGTCCTATCCTTGCATATATAGAGAAGCAGAGGAAAGGTGAATATCCCCCATGGCCTCCTTCTAAATTGTAAAAACCTCATCAATGACGAAAGAGAAAGAAACTTTTGCAATATTTCATAAGGGAAATAAACCTACTGATTAATACCTAATAAGTTTAGGGCAATTAGACGCAACCAAAGTCGAATTAGTTGGACAATTAGTTTGGTAATTATAAAGTTTTAAGTTTGATTTTACGTGGGAACTCTTTATTAACCTTCTCGATTTGAACTGATAAGCTAAGGCTAACATATGTTGGTTTAAATTTTTGTGGTCTTTCGTAGACTAGAATCACAATACAGATTTCACCCATAACACATTTTTTAGGGTAGCGGCTGCAAGATTTCCTAAAGAGACCAACTAAGGCTGGGGTTTATGGGCATTGAATTCAATCATTCACTTAATTGAAATATTTTAGTTTAAAACGGTTGATCGAATTATATTAGTTCAATCATGTGGGAGTGTAAAACGTCTGTATTTTTAATTCATCCATTATAATCGTTGCGTAGATTTAATTTCTCAAGTATTTGCGACACAAATTTTATTAAAGCAAATGTTCAAAAGACTATCGTCTATATTTCATCACATTCAAAAGATTAAGACCCTGTTTGGTAAAATGGTTGTTAGCTGATAGTTGATTGTGTTAATTAGAGGGTATAAATAGTTGATAACATTAGCGGATTGTGAAAAAGTGTTAGGTAAATTAGCTGTTAGCTAATAGTTGTTTGGTATAATTTATTTTTTAAAAAGCTAATTGAAAAAGTTGCTTGGAATAACATTTTGAATTTTAGCCTTTTGGAGTTGCAAAAAGCTAATTAACCAAATATTTATATTGATATTTTAACTAAATTAAACAATTAATAGTGATCAAATAAGCCAAAATTAGTCTATAAGCCAATTTTTTATTAAACAGGGCCTAAAAGTATCATTATTTTTTAAAGAAAAATAACATTTTTAGTCTTTTCGGTTATGATAGTTAATCTTAAAACAAGCAAACATAGGACATAGGTTTCTCACTAAATCTCACCTCACCTTTGACGGCAAGGCGCCAAGCCGCCAACCCCACAGGCACGCAAAAGTATAGTCTTTTTCTACTTATCCCCAAACCAGAAAAGTTAACATATTTTTGTATGCTTCCTTTTCCAGCCCCCACCCACCTCATTAATTACTACGAAAAATAAATAAATCCAAATTCTCCATCAACTTACCATAATTACAACACTTGATTCCATATTTCCATGTCAAGGTCCTAAAAATAGCATAGATTTAAGGCTCTCACCTCTTATGTGAAACGGGAAAAAGTTTTATGTAAAGAAAACCAAAAAAAAAAAGAAGAGAAAAAACTATTCTTTCTTGCTTGTGATTGAAGACACACTGCTTAACAAGCAAGCAGTTGTTCATACAAAAGTTGAAAGAAATGTTTGATGATTCCCGGGAGTTATCTCCTTCTTCCGGCTCGATTTTTTCCCAGAATTCCAGAGCCAGAAAAGGGTTGTTTCCAAGGAGCAGGGAGGTGTTCATGGACCCTTCTGGTAACACAGAATTTGGTAGAAACTCTGGGTTGCTCAGGTTTCGCTCTGCCCCAAGCTCTGTGCTTGAGAATTTCACTCATGGGGTTGAAAAGAGTGATGGGTCTGGTTCAAGATTCAATCTTGGCAGTTCAAATGGGGGGTTGGTCTCTCAGGGTAGTCTGAATTTGGAGGACAGTGGGTATAAAGGTTTTGTTAATGGGTTTTCTGGTTTGCCTCCTCAGTATCCAAGGCAAAGTTCAAGTGCCCAATTGGTGGATGGTGGTGGGCTATTGGGGTCCAATCTCATGAGACAGAACAGTTCACCTCCTGGCCTATTCTCACATCTCACCCCTCAAAATGGTACTGTCCTGAAACTTATTGAAGTCATCATCTCTTACATTTGCTTTCTGTGTTTTATCATTTTTGTTTTTGTCCTTGATGGAAAGTGGTTTTGACTTGTGTAGTTGTGTATATGGATCAACATATGCAAGTTGAGCATGTTTTTTTTTTTTTTTGAGTAACGAGGGAAACTTGTAGCCTACACAGGTATACACAGTTCAAACTAAGAAGGTCAATAGGCCTCTCTCAGTAACCAACTTGACTGGAGTTGCCTTCAGTTAACCGTGATTTGACTTTCTGAGAAAGCATATATGAAAGAGTAGCTTGGAATTTAGCTCTTAGTTGCCCTTGTTATTGGTTTGTGGTGTAATCAATGACAATAATGGGTTTTTTGTTTTCATTTTCATTCATTTAGTGCTAGTTATTTTCATGGAAATAGTATCATATAGGAAAATTAATAGTTTAAGTTATCAATGAAATACAGATAATTACTATAGTTGATAAGTCCTGCTTTGCATCTACTTTGTTGGGTGGAGTTTATCTTCATCCCATTGTCTGCTCAGTTGATTTCTTAATGCTGATGGGAAGTTAAACAGCTAGAGATCAAATCTTAGGATTCCACATCATTGAAACACAGTATCAATAAGGCCTGGTTTCTTGAAATAGCTTGTTGAAGATCTGTGATGGCAAAATAGTGAAATACTGAACCAAACTTTCTCTCTTGCTATAGCCCCAATTCCTGGATTTGAATGATTATCTATTTGCAGGTTATGACGCGATGAAGGGATACAGAATGGCGGTGCATGGTGGTCATGGAGACACGAGCCTATCTTCGAACAAGTTGAAGAGTCCTTTGAGCTACTCATCTGGTTGTGTAGGGATGTTGTCTCAAATCACAGAAGTTGAGAATGAGAGCAATGCAGAAAGTTGTGAGAATGATGATGAGAAACCCGGGAATGGCAATGCAGACACTCGATTTTTTGGCCATGGGTTTCCATTTGCCTCGTGGAGTGATCCTCCAAACTTTGCAGAGAACCTGAATGGCCTTAAAAGGGAGCTGGATAATGACACAAACCTATTTGCTGCTGCTAATACTCAAGTATGGCAATGAATCTGATATGCAAATTAAATACTGGTTTTAGTCTTTTAGATCAGTTTCTGGTTTTGATTTCTAAACTAGAATTCTCGCGTTTAAACAGGTTGGGGACATGGGAACTCAACCCCAAAGTTTGTCACACCCTTTAAGTTCACAAAAGACTGATTCTTCTGCAATATCTGCTATGGAGAAGCTATCAAACTTCCCAGATACTGTTCCCTGGAACATCCGGGCTAAACGTGGCTGTGCTACTCATCCAAGAAGCATTGCAGAGAGGGTAGGATATGAATATATGATCTTTCTTATAATTCTTGGATATTAAACCTACACACACAACACATGTTCGTTTCGTACTATGTTTCAGGTAAGAAGAACACGAATTAGCGAAAGAATGAGGAAACTACAGGACCTCGTCCCAAACATGGACAAGGTAGCTAGGCTGTTCTTCATTTCTCTTCATCTGCATTTCTCGATTTCTCTCATGTTTTTTGTGCTTATTTCTTCTTGCAGCAAACCAACACAGCAGACATGCTAGATTTTGCGGTCGAGTACATTAAAGATCTGCAAAGACAATACAAGGTACAAGCAAACGATACTGATATATATTCATCAACATTTCCTCACAGATTTCGTCTCGTTTGGATGCAGACCCTTGCAGACTGTCGAGACAAATGCAAATGCTCGGCTATGAAAAAACCGGGTTTGAATCAGAGAGTCTGACATAACACTTCTGTAGAGCAGAGAAGAATGGGATTCGCGACACAGAAAGAGGGAAGGAAATATACAAGAGTTAGAACTTATGTTTCTTGTAGTATTGTATTGTTTTTTCCATGATAATAACTAGCATGTTAATGGGATAGTGATTAGTTATACCTATAAGATGATACATATAGATGCCACAAAGTAACAATGTTATAAGCATAGAATTAGTAGGAAAGAAGCATAGATTAGATGCAAGAGAGAAAGATCGATCATGTATTACTTTTGCCCTATAGTTTAAATTGTCTAACGAGTTTCAACAGTTTACAGATTTTATAAAGTGTTTGTACTCTGTTTATATGACATGGCTAACTTCGTGCCTTCGTTGGTAAGAATAGCGAAGCAAAGTTATTAACTTTTTTTTACTAAGACTATAGAGGAGGGACTTGTAAATAAATACAATTACAAAATGTAGTCATTAGAAATATTAGGCTGAAACAAAGACAACCTTAACCTCATCAAAAAACGGTTAACTGGTCCCGCACTGGCCGTTGGTCCTCTCTAACCTTTCTCTCTCTCCTCAGGAGCAAAAACACCATTCAAACAAAGAAAAAATCAGCATGCCCAAATTCCCTCTATCCTCATTCTTCACAAACCCTAGCTCTAAATCCATTCAAAACATCATTTGATCCCTTCCCATTTTCCTGTTTTTTTTCTGTTTGTTTTGTTTTTTTTTTTCCCGTTGACACTCTCGCCATCATTTTCCAATTTCATGAGAAATTGGGATCTGGGTCATCATCAATCGTCGCAGATTGTGGTTCCCTTTTTCCTCAATCAGATGTTGAAATCCAAATCTTGGAAGGGCGTGGGTTGAGGAAAAAGAAATCATCATTGGATCAGATTAGGGGATCTCGCGATAATGACGAATTTGTATGGAGGAGAGTTCAACAAGCAGATAGATTATGTGTTCAAGGTTGTGTTGATTGGGGATTCAGCGGTGGGGAAATCTCAGCTCCTGGCTAGGTTTGCAAGAAATGAGTTCAGTTTGGATTCAAAAGCCACCATTGGGGTTGAATTCCAGACTAAAACTCTCATCATTGATCAGAAAACAGTCAAGGCACAGATTTGGGACACTGCTGGCCAAGAAAGGTCTGCCCTTTTTCTTCTTATTTCCAGGATTATTTCATATTTTTCTTCTCATTCTTGTTGGCTATGTCAATGCTAAGCTTAAGGTTAGGTTGCCTTTAAGTTGATACATCATAGGTTGTCTTTAATGTTAGGTTGTCCCAACAGGAGCGACCTATTGACTTTCTTGATTTGAGCTGGGCAGTTATAGACAATCTAGGTTAGTTTACTTCCTTGTGGTGGTCCTTGCCAGCTAGGGTCCTCAGGTAGTAGTTGCGGGTTTCACTCGTCAACTTTACTAAAGGCCTTGGTGGAGCGGCATAGCTCCAATGAGAGGTTTCAGGTTCGAACCCCAGTGTGAGGGCAGACTCTTTGTGCTTCAGTAGGTTGAGAAAGTATGTATGAACAGATACTACATTGTAACAGAGTCAATAGTATTCAAAATTCAAAAAAGAAAAACAACTTTCAGTTTCTTGAAACATACTCTAAACAACAACTATATATTTTGGTGATGTCTGATGATGTTTATATTTGTGTCAGGTATAGAGCAGTAACGAGTGCGTACTACAGAGGGGCGGTAGGGGCGATGCTGGTATACGACATGACAAAGCGCCAGTCGTTCGACCACATGGCGAGGTGGTTGGAAGAGCTTCGGAGCCACGCGGACAAGAACATCGTGATAATGCTGATAGGGAACAAGTGTGACCTCGGGAGCCTGCGGGCAGTACCTATCGAGGACGCCCAGGAGTTTGCCGAAAGGGAAAACCTGTTCTTCATGGAAACGTCGGCCCTAGAAGCCACCAACGTGGAGACCGCATTCATGAACATCCTCACCGAAATATATAGGATTATAAGCAAGAAAACATTGAGTGCAGATGGTGATCTTGGGAGGCAGGGAACGCTCAAGGGTACTAGGATCATTGTTGCGGATCAAGACTCGAATTCTGCTGCGAAAGCGGGCGGGGGTTGTTGTGGTGGCTGATCATCATCCCTTTGGAACAACACAAGACTGTTTTGCATTGTAGGAAGTTAAGGTTTTTGTTAGTAAAAGAATGTTACTCCCAACAGAACATGATTTTGTAAGACAGATCAAAATAGAGAGAGTGTTGTAAGTTGATATACAATCTAGTTTGTATGTAAAACAAATTCATTGGAAGTGCTCAGATGTCATGAATAAATCATAAACTCTAATTTCATGTCTCATGTTATTATAGCATACATATTGCATAATAATATTGTTGAGCTTTTTCCATTCTAACTTAACTCGGCGTGCCAAGCACTTTGTGCTCAGATGCCACCTCTGTGGCTCTCCTTGAGGAAAGGTCACAGGATCGAACCTCGGTGGTGGGGTATTGACTCTTTGGTCTGCAACAGATAGAGAAAGTATAGAACATATACTACCTTGTAATAGATAACAAAAAATTTAACTCGACCTAAAACGGGTTAAACAGGCCCAACCTAGCAAGATGGACCGTTTTGACATCTCTATCCAAAGTAACTACATCATGAAGATAAAAACAAGGATAGAACCATAGACCACTAGCAAAATGCAGGTAAAAACAAAAATAGTCAAAAAAATTGATGCCAACACTATTGATGAATTAACTACTAAGTTGAATTTACTCACAATTGTGTATATAAAAACACAGAGTGGGTTAAGTTTCTTGCACGTCAAAGCAGCCATGGATGGTCTTCTCTATATCTTACTCTTCTTCTTCATCACCTTTATCACTCTCTCCTTCATCATCAAACACAAAACCCCAAACACCCATCTTCCTCCAAGCCCACCGGCATTACCAATAATTGGCCATCTGCATTTGCTCAGTTTCTTATGGCACCAATCCTTTCAGAAACTAGCCCTCCAATACGGGCCGTTTATATGGCTCAAGACCGGGGGGTCATCGTCCTACATCGTCTCTAATGGCGCCATAGCTAAACAAGTCTTCAAACACCATGACATCAGCTTTGCAGCCAGGCCTGAATTTGGATCCTCAGAGCATCAGATATACAAAGACACCTTGTTTTCCACTCTGGACTACAGCAAGTACTGGATTTTCTTGAAGAAAATCTGCATGGTGGAGATTCTTTCACCCCAGCAGATCAATAGGTTTGGTGATGTGAGACATGAAGAGATGATGAAGCTGCTGGAATGTTTTCTGGGTTGTGCAGAAAAGGGGGAGTCTTGTGATGTGGGGATTCGGTTCATGGCGATGACGAATAATCTGGTTTGCAGGCTGATGATGAGCACTAGGTGTTCTACGAATGAGAATGAGAGTTCAGAGATAAGAGAGATTGCAAAGGGGATAACACTGCTTTCTGGGCAGGTGAGTGCAGGTGAGATCTTTGGTCCTTTGAAGAAATATGATCTGTTTGGGGCTGGGAAGAAGATCAAGGCATTGCTGCTGAGATTTGATAAGTTCATGGAGGGGATTATAATGCAGCACGAGAACGAATTGCAGGCTGGGAAGAAAGAAAAGAAGGACATGATGGATATTCTTCTGGGAATTGCAGATGATCCTAATGCAGAAATGAAGCTAACTAGAAATGGCATCAAAGGCCTTTTCTTGGTATGCCATTCACCATTTCAAAACCCCTTCTGTTTCTGCAATTCTGTATCTTTATTTCTAACTCAAATTCTTGAAATTTGGTGCCAAAAAACAGGATCTTTTCTTGGGAGGAACCGACACGACGAGTGTGGCACTGCAATGGGCACTTGCAGAGCTCCTGAACCATCCAAGAACACTCAAGAACCTGCAAGAAGAGATAGACAGGGTTGTGGGGATAAACAGGCTAGTCGAGGATTCAGACATCCCGAACCTTCCATATCTCCAAGCCGTCGTCAAAGAAACACTGCGATTGCATCCATCACTCCCACTGGTCTTCAGAAAGTGCAGGGAGGATTGCATGATAAATGGGTACAAAATACCCAAGAACTCCAGGCTTGTGGTGAATCTTTATGCAGTCAACAGGAACCCCGAGGCCTGGGAGAACGCTGCAGAGTTTGTGCCCGAGAGATATCTGGCGAACACAACCGAGGAGAATCTGTTGATTCAGCCCGACGAACTGGAGGGTCTGCAGGGCCAAACTTTCGATTATGTGCCATTTGGAGGTGGGAGGAGGGGCTGCCCCGGGGCTGCTCTTGCAGCAGCTGTGTTGCATAGCACACTCGGGGCAACGGTCCAGTGCTTCGATTGGAAGATCAAAGGTGCAGAAAGAGTTAACATGGAAGAAGGGGTAGGATTTTCTGCTGCCATGCTTCATCCCCTCATCTGTTATCCTGTCACGCGTGCTAATCCGCTGAAAATTGCATAGGAAAGTGATTTGGCATGCGTTTACTTCAATTCTCCGGTTTTCCTTTCCCCAGTTTTTCATTTCTCCAGTTAGTAAACGCGAAGTTTCCATCATGATTATGATATGGCAAGATGCTCAATGCAAATTTGACTCATTTGGTATGGTTCTAGCTATCTGTTCCATATGTGTATTTCTGAAAAAATAATGAAGTTGAAGTTGTTTCTCCTATGTTTGATGTACAAATCAATCTGCTATTAGTTCTAGCTGTCTTCTATGTAGTTTAGGATATGTTGTGTAAGTCTCATATGTTACTGGAAGATAACAGGTGTTGGAGCGTACTGACTGAAAAGCAACTCAACGAATCACGTAAAAAAATAGCTAGGGTCTGACTGGTGGGCTGATTGTGCAACTTGCGGTTTACTTCTACAGTGACTTTAAGGGCGAGGTCTTGTGGATTTGAGATTAGTCCACCAAAATTAGGATCACCAAAATATTATTAAAAAATAAAAAAAAAAAACTCCTTTTATTCGAACCCCGTAAAAACTTTTCTTCGTTTTTGCTTTTTGTTCTTGATATCTTGATCCCATTTTTCTTAAACAGATGAGAAGTTGAGGGTGACAGAAAGAAAACAGACAGCAAAATCATTGGTTAAATAGTATCTTATCTTAATCTTCCAAAGACAGTAACAGAAACTACAAACAAGAATGCCATCTTAATCTTACATAGAAAATAACAGATGCTACAAACAGCAAAATCATTGTTAAACATTAGCATCTTCATCTTGCATACAGAATAAAAGATACTGCAAAGAGTGATGTAAATAGAAAACAACAGATACTGCAAACGGCTAAACAATAACATCTTAATCTCACATAGAAAACAGCAGATAAATGATGCCATCTTTCAGCCCCGAAAGAGGTGGCAAAGTGGGTAAAGCATGACATTAGCATCTCTCCTGTGCGGTTTGCGAATTACTATACAGGAGCGGGTTTACCCTACGCGCAAACTCTGATAATAACTACGGATTTTTCTCGTCACTGAAAAAAATTTAAAGAATGTTATCTTTCAGCAGAAAGGCAATCACTATGTCTATTGCATATGTAACAAACTAACAATAATAGAGATAATAGTACTAAATGTTTGAAAAATGTTACAACTACAGAATCATAGTATGCTAAAAAAAATTAGTTAAAAATGACATTTAAAGTGATCATTTTGAAGCAATGTTTTCACTTGGACTCACCCTCGATTTGGATCGGGTCAAAGTCGATATGGATTCTTGAATACTGCAAAGGGATATGATTAGATTCCTATTCCCATATATGACTTCAAATTTTATGCCACTCTTTTGTCCCTTTCCATCTGTCTTATTCTCCAGGAATGGTTTTGAAGCAGACATTAAACCACAGAAGACATAAACCTTAGGACTAGTAAAAAGAAAACATCATCACAACTTATCTGTTTGTCATTACATACATAAACTATAAAACTCCAACTTGTCTTCATTTGATACTGAGTCAATGCCTGCACCTACTAAAACCACATCAGAGAGGTCCTTTGAAATCAAACAGACACAAAAATCAAACAATTTTATGGTTAAATAGGCCCAAGCATAAGCTGCAGAACCAAGATCAAAGACAGGCATGGAAGAATTTCAAGAATTCATCTTTCCTCTCTTTTCTTGCCTAATTCTCACCATCTTACTCGGAGTTCTATTCAGAAAAAGAACCAATTCTCGTCTTCCTCCAAGCCCGCTAGCCTTCCCAATCATCGGCCATCTCCATCTCCTCGCCCCGATACCTCACCAAGCACTTCACACCCTCTCTAACAAGTATGGACCCTTGATGCAAATCTGGCTTGGCTCTGTGCCTTGTGTGGTGGCTTCATCAGCTGAAATGGCCAAAGAGTTCTTGAAAACTCACGATCATTCCTTCTCCGATCGCCCCACATCAGCTGCTGTGGATTACTTAACATATGGCTCACAGGACTTCTCGTTTGCTCCCTACGGACCTTACTGGAAGTTCATGAAAAAGCTCTGCATGTCTGAGCTTCTAGGAGGCCGAACACTAGACCTTCTGCTTCCTGTGAGGCGCGATGAGATAAGGCGCTTTCTGGCACGCCTCTCACAGAAGGCTAAAGCTGGTGAAGAAGTCGATGTTGGAGCCGAGCTCGTAAGGGTAACAAACAATGTAATATCAAGAATGCTTATGAGTGTGAGGTGCTGTGAGGATGAAGATGAAGCTGGGAGTGTAAGAATGCTGGTGAAAGAAACTGCAGAACTGACAGGGAAGTTTAACCTCTCAGATTTCATTTGGTTTTGTAAGAATCTGGACTTGCAGGGGCTGAGGAAGAGACTTAAGGACGTGCACGAGAGATTCGATGAAATGATGGAAAAGATCATACATGATCATATAGATGCTAAAAGGAGAAGGCAACAAAACAATATTACTGGAGATGAAGCAGTCAAGGATCTGCTTGACATCTTACTGGATATAGCAGAAGATGAAAGCTCAGAGATGAAATTAACCAGAGAAAACATCAAGGCTTTTGCTCTGGTAAATGCTAACTACTTAGAAGTTCCCAAATTTCAAAACTGATTTTTGAATAATTTAAGGTTCTTGTAGGTCATGGATTAGACCAGCTAATTGATTGGATTCAGTCTTTTAGCGTTGTTTGGCCCATGTGCATTATAGCCCAGTTGAGCGATATCAGACACTAGCCCAGTCTTAGATTATAACCATGATGTCTTTCTTAATTCATAGATGACATCAAAAACTTATAAACAAACATTGTTTTGAACATCTGAATTGCAGGACATCTTTGCAGCAGGAACTGATACATCAGCCATTACAGTAGAGTGGGCACTTGCAGAGCTAATAAACCATCCAGAAACCATGGAAAAAGCATCACAAGAACTGGACTCTATCATTGGAACCAACAGACTAGTAGAAGAATCAGACATTTCGAATCTCCCCTATCTTCAGGCCATTGTGAAAGAAACTCTCAGGCTTCACCCCACAGGGCCAATGATAGTGAGGGAATCAACCAAGGACTGCATCGTCGGAGGCTACAATATACCTGCAAAGACGAGGCTTTTCGTCAACGTCTGGGCCATCAACCGAGACCCGAGGCACTGGGAAAACCCACACGAGTTTCAACCGGAGAGGTTTCTGAGTGGAGAATTGGATGTTAGAGGGCAGCATTATGAGTTCTTGCCATTTGGAAGTGGGAGGAGAGGCTGCCCTGGAACCTCATTAGCTCTGCAAGTAGTTCAAACCAGCCTGGCTGCCATGATTCAGTGCTTTAAATGGGAAGTTAATGAAGGTAGAGTGGACATGGAAGAGGGGCCTGGGCTTACTCTCCCCAGAGCTCACCCTTTAGTCTGTCTCCCAGTGGCTAGGATCAACCCTTTCAGTTCATAGTTTCAGATTTCAGTGTTTTAGTATTGTTAAAAGTTTCAATATTTGAAATAAACAATAGTTGCACCACTTCATAAAAGATTCATAACTAAGGTGATACATAGTCTTCATTCTTAAAAATTGCAGCCATGGTAGACATCAAGCCTGCATCATTCTCAAGGAATATCAATCTTAGCCTGAAACTGATGATCCGACAAGAAAAAATTTAGTGTTAAGATTGAAATATTTTAATCTGATAAAAAAAAATATCTCAATAAGTCTGAAACGGATTAACTTGGTGGTCTAAACGGATTAACCTGATAGCTCGAGTCACTTAAAGTTATTGTGGACCCTGATCCAAAGTGACATTCAAATTATGTGTCTGTCTTTATCATATTATATGTCTGTAAATAAATTAGAGGCATATGATATATTAACTATAGACACATAATATGGGGTTAACATATTATGTGCCTTCAATTTTTTATAGGCATAAAATTTATTAACTGAAGACACAAAATATTTGAGTGACACATAATTTTTGAACCATGGTTCACAATGCAAGGTAGAGCTTAGTCCTAATTGCAATTCTTAATTATCATTATTTTGGATTTAATTGCATGATTTTGTGTTGTTCAAGGACCTAATTGTATTTTTTTTTTGAATTTGATGACCTAATTACAATTTAGTGTGCACTTGAGTGGCTTATTTGGCACTTATTCCTTGTTTTTATTAATTAATAGTATAAATGTATAATATAGATAAAAAGGTAATAAAGTTAATTATATTGAATTCGCGTTATTTAATCCCAACCAAAAAAAAAAAAAAAAAAAAAAGTGAATGTAATATCGTAGATGAAAACATGTTTTAATTAAGCTAAGCATTTTTCAAAATAAAATACTGCATGTGGACGTACAATTACAGTCCATCTGATTACAATAATTAAGCTAAGCATTTTTAATAATAAAATATTCTGGACAATTATAGTTCATCTTATTACAACTTATTAAAGTTGTAGCTGTTTGATCATAACATATCCTAACTTCTATCAAGTAGAGTCCATGGCATCTAAACAAAGGACCAATTTTTAACCTTCTCATGAGCTCCATATATAACAGAGTAGAATCTTGTGGAATAGGACTAGGAAGGACATCCATATATAAAAGTATGTGAGATATGTCTAAATTGTAGTATAGTTTTATGGCCGTCTCAAAATATTCAGTTTGATTTAACAAACTTTCTGAAATGATGCCGTGTTTGTTCCATTCATCGGCCCAAAAAGCTTCTTTCAGCCTATTCACCTGATAATCTGGCCATGATGTACTCAATTGGACTATCAATTCATCATACATCTATAAATTTAAAAGAAAAAATTCAAATCAAAATTAGCAAGTTATAACAATAATATTATATTTATTTACAACAACAGGAAGAATAAACTCACCAGACTATGGTCGTATTTGTGACCATTCCATGGTATTGGTGGACTTCGGTCAGCATAATCGATAGGCCAGAACCCTTGAATGGTAAATGTTTCTGTAACTCTATGGTAATAGCAATTTTTAGCAGTGAAACAGTAGCCCGGAGGCCAATATAGTGATAGGTAAAACTCATCCCATGGTAGCTCATAAGTTTTTGGAATAGATCCAAAAAAGATGAGCAAAATTACAACAAGTAGTATCCTCATTTTTGGCGTAGGTATAGTAGTGTTGGGGCTTTTTTTTTTTTTTTTTTTTGGAGGAAGGTGAGGGAATTCTCCCAACTACACCGAGAGAGAATTTATAGAGGAAGCAGGCCTTCCAGCAGGAGAGATGTGTTAGTTGGGCGGATCGGAGTGGTTGAGCAGTGCATATGCCGGGAGAGGGTCATGCGGAGTTGGTGGCAACAGCGCAGCTTTAATTTGCATGCAATATGTATGGTGCGTAACTCTGATCTGCAGTCTTCGAAGCAAAAAAGGTACAAGCGCCGGCTGTTACATTAGGGGCGTTTGGTTTAGGATTATGAGTTTGGTAATGTTATATTATCTTATTTGGTTCAAGTTATGAGATTACTTGGTTCAAATTATGAGATTACCTGGTAATATTCTATTACCTCAAAATTGATGTGGCGATAACCTAAAATATAACCTGATATATATTACTGAGGACATTATAATAAATTGATCCATATAACCTAAAATATAACCTTTAACCAAACAAAATAATATTATATTCCACAATCCAAACCAAACACATAAGGTAATCTTACATTCTCAAAATCTCACATTACCTTCCTAAGGGGGCGTTTGGTTCAGGTCATCTTAGATTACCTAGGTAATCTGAGTTTGGTAATGTTATATTACCTTGTTTGGTTCAAGTCATGAGATTACCAGGTAATATTATATTACCTGAAAGCTGATGTGGCGGTAATGTTTCAAGGTAATGTGATTACTCCCATTTTTTTAGGTAATCTTAGATTACATTGAATTATTCTAATTTTGCCCTTGTTAACTAATCCTTATATAATAATAATAATAATAATAATAATAATAATAATAATAATAATAATAATAATAATAATAATAATAATAATAATGAAATTAATATAGGGAAAATGGCACTTTTTCCCCCTGTGTTATATACCTATAGTATTTTTTCCTCCTAAATTATTGAAGTGGTTGTTTTTCCCCCTGAAATGTTAAATGGACATATTTACCCTTAAACTAAATATTTAATTTATTTTTTTCTCTAATAAATTATGACCATAATTTGGTTCAAACTAAACAAACACTATAGCAACCAAACCGAAATATTCCAATTACAATTTAGAATCGAAATTCGATATTTAGAGTTTATTAAAATCGTGAACCGGAACGGACGATTCATGTTCCGAACTAAAAAAATAAAATACATTTATTGTTGAATTTATACTATTTTAAAATAAAAAATAAGATTTTAAAATAACGACGGTTCAAAATCGCGAATCGGATCCGGAACCGCCGATTCACGGTTCAAGATTCAATTTTTTTGATACATAATTTTAATAAATTGACATTAAAATATTGGGTTCTAGATTTGAATTATAACCGAAGATTATTAATTCGATTGCTTTAGTATCTGGTTCAATTCAAACCGATCCGTGGTCATCCCTACGTATACGCAATAATTTGTTGGAGTAGTAAAATAAATAAAATGTTTACTTTAAGGGTATAAATGTCAATTTAATATATCAGGGGGAAAAACACCACTTTTAGAATAATTGAGGGGGAAAAAGTGCTTTTAAATATATAACTCATGGGCAAAAAGTGTCATTTTCTCATTAATATATGTTTATATAATCAAATATACATGTGTATATTTATATATGTAGTTTTTTTTTTTTTTAATATTTAAGCTTGGATATACATTCATAGATATAAATAAATACACACACATAATATATATATATATATATATATATATATATATATATATATATATATATATATATATATATATATATATATATATATATATATATTATTGAAGGCATTATTGTAAATTGATCCATATAACCTAAAATATAACCCTGAACCAAACAAGGTAATATTATATTACACCATCCAAACCAAACACACAAGGTAATCTTACATTCCCAAAATCTTACAATACATTCCAGAAGTAATCCTATTACCTGGGGTAATCCAAGATTCCATGAACCAAACGCCCCCTAATGGTAATCCTATTACCTGGGGTAATCCAAGATTTCGTAAAGCAAACGCCCCTAGGGGAAATGCTATTTATCTTCATCCAAACTACTTATGCAAATCAACCTAGCTAATAGGACAAGAAACACTTTATGTGCAACTATTTTAATTAAAGCAATATATATTCAAGTCCAAAGTCTACCAAGCACATACATTTTTATGCTATATAACAGTAGGTGATATGGTATTTATCTTCATTCAAACTACTTTTTCAAATCAACCTCCAATAGTACACCAGAAAACACTGTGTGTGGAACTATTTTAATTAAGACAAAATAGATTAAGGTCCCGTTTGGTAAAATGATTACCTTAGGTTAATTTTGACTTATTTGATCACTATTAGTTGTTTAACTTGGTTTAAAATCAATATAAGTATTTGATTAATTAGTTTTTTGTACTCCAAAATATTAAAATTCAAAAAGTTACTCAAAACAACTTTTTCAATTAGCTTTAAAAAAAAAAAAGAAATTATACCAAACAGCTATCAGCTAACAACTAATTTACCGAACATTTTTCTTCAATCAGCTAATGTTATCAACTAATTATACTCTCTAATTAACCCAATCAGCTAACAGTTAACAATCATTTACCAAACATGGCCTAAATATAAAGTACTTAAAACCCTTTCATACTATTACCGTAAAAATAAGTCTTAGAGTGCCCAGAAACTAACAAATTGCTGATTTTTCTTGGACCATTATCTACCAAAATTCTAACATGGTCATACTGGCTGATAGGTAAAATGATAGAACATGTTTTGTATAGTATAATTTGCCAAAAAGTATAAGATTAAGGATTAAAATATAAAGATTATCTACTATACTATACTAAATAATATAAGAGCCAATGTTGCTTAGGTTGTACTAATAAACTGATTAAGATTAAGGGATCTTTAAATATCTGTTTGTCCCTGTCAGTTATAATTTGAAGCCTTCATCTTTTAAATAGAAACAAGTACAGGAGCCAATGGCCTGGTCTGTTTAACACCGGCGGCTTGCAACAGTTCCAACTCTCAAATGGTAGTTTGGAAGTGAATGCTTCAATCTTCTCAAATTCCTCCTTGTAAAACAATGTGAAACACATTGCCTTAGAACTTTCCATAAACAACCAAATTAAATTACTGAAAATAAAGTTTTAAGTTATCAACCCAAAATAAGTTTCTGGTTGTACTAAATGCCGGAAACTCCTTCATCAAATAAATTTTGCCAGAAAGATTGAAGTTGAGGCAAACAATATTAGGTGAAGATAAAGGACATTGAGTGGAAAAGAGTAGCTTTCTACCAATTTATCTCAGTTTATAAAGTTTTAGAACTTCTATCTATTTCGGTTTTTTTTTTTTTTTTTTAAGACATGATGAATACAACATTATTAACAACAAAGAATATCTCAATTACATTATAAAGGATTGCTACAACTAGGGGTGCATGGGCGTTTGGGCTTGATAGTTTATAATGTAATTGAGATATTCTTTGTTGTTGTTACACAAGTATAATTCTCAATTTATTTATAGGTGCATAATTTATTAACTAAAGACACATTATATTAACGGTACCCGTGACATAATTGTTTTGGACCGGAGTCCACAATGCAAACTAGACCCTAGGACATGGTGTTCTATTATATATATACTCCAAAGTTCTATGTACACTCTTATTTTTAATCAATAATGTGACAAATAAGAATTGATGATTTATTTCTTTTCATCTCTCATGAAAACTATCTTCATGAAGAAAATGAGAATGAGCCTAAAAAATTGAGAGTCCACATATTTTCGTAACAATTTTATAACTGTCTAGCAATTAAGCTGGGCAAATTATGCCCTGGAAACGTGTTCACCGTGAATGGTGAACACAAGTCCAAACGACGTCGTTTTTACGCAAAAAAAAAAAAAAATGAAATAAAATTTCGCGGATGTGAAATTAACGGCGCGCGTTTGATCAAATTATGAATTTTCTGTTATGAGATTATGAATGTAATGTAAATTTATAATCTCATAACAGAAAATTCATAATCCCATAAAAGTAAAATATTTATTAAATGGTGAACACGGTTCCATGGCATAACTCCCCATTCTTCCACTTCCCCTCCCTATTTTTCCGAGTGTAAAACGGCCTCCATTGAAAGAAGTCCACCTTCTTCTTCTTCCTTGTAGAACTAACTAACCCTAGTAAGTAAAATTCTGCTATTCTCTGTACTGATACACTTCATATATATCGTTCAAAATGTCTAAGAAGACCAGATCTTTTTGCCTCCTCAATCTGTGTGTTCTGGTTTTTCTATCATTTGCTCGCGCGATTGATTATGATCTTGAAGGTATATATGTAATTATGTATGCACCTCTTTGATTATATTAATCTAAGAATAAGAAGATGAGTTTCCTTATTTAATTTGGTTGCCATAATATAATCCATTACAGTTCAAACTCTGAGCGATATGTACACAGCCCTGAACCGCCCGTGGAAGATGTTAAACTGGTATAAAGGTAACCCATGCGAGGATATGTGGGTAGGAATTACCTGTGTAACATTATCAAAGGGACGATCAACCGTGACTGGCATGTATGTATATATGTATATATAATATAATATATATTCCTTTGATAATATAATGTTACTTCTATCTTTCTAGCTAAGCTCGATCATCATTTAATTTGCAGTAACCTTCGCGGTTTCAACCTTACTGGTACATTGGACTTCCAGTTAGGAAATCTTCAAAATTTGATAAAACTGTAAGTTTAATCACTGAAATCATCATTTATCTATCATTCTGTCAATTAATAATGCACATATATGCGTGGATCGAATAATATATATAATCAATATCTATCTTGTACGTGCTGCTTATTAGTTTGCTGTTTGTGGTTATTTATTAGGGACCTGAGCGCCAATAACATTCAAGGTGAAATCCCACATCGTTTATCTCGACCTCTCAAACTTCTTAGATATGTGTAAGCCCACATATTTTATGTATATATGCTGGTATGGTTGGTGTTAATAAAATTTTAGAGACACTTATTATTGCAGGAATCTGAGCCACAACGGATTATCTGGACGGGTGGGAGATTTTTTTAGTGACATGGAGAATCTGGCATTGCTGTATGTGTACAAAATTAAACAATCAGATATTATTTTCAAGCTAAGGCCGACTAACTATTAATCAGTAAATTGAAAGTATTTTTTAATTATATATCTCGGTCTGACCTGCAGGGATCTGTCACACAATAAACTCACCGGAGAATTACCTACTTCATTTGGTGCTTTGAAAAGTCTGAGGAATTTGTAAGTTTATATGTCTCTTTTTTATTATTTACAATATAATATATATATATATATATATATATATATATATATATATATATATATATATATGTATATATATATATACATATATATATATATATATACATATATATATATATGTGTGTGTGTGTGTGTATATATGTGTATATATATATATATATATATATATATATATATATATATATAATTGCATGCATGCAAGAATTGTATGTATGTATGTTTCTCTTATATTATATTGCATAGGCTTCTGCAGGGCAATTCACTTAATGGACCGGTCACTATTTTGGCAAAGCTCCCACTAATAGTTCTGTGAGTTAATTTTGATATGATCCATCTCCATATATATATATGAAGCAAGTTAAGCTTAATTAGTTAGCTAGCTAATAACTTTGGGAATTTCGTAACGAGGAGGAGTTTATTTGTTTACTTATTACTTTTCCTGGCCTGCAGCAACATTGAAGATAACCAGTTCAGTGGTGTGATTCCAGAAAATTTTAAAGACCTTATTCACTCATGGTAAGTTGTAGACTTGTAGCTAGCTACTAGCTAAGTAGGCATCTTAAAATGCGAACTCAACTGCCACGTAAGCAGGTAACCTGTTAAAATTGATGGTAACCTGCTATCAGGTGAAATTGCATACATTTAGAGTGTTCAGTTGTTTAATTGCACTTTTTTTCCGTTCAGTGGCCTAATTGCATTTTCAGGTTAAGTTCAGTGGCCAATTTGAACCTTATTCCATTTTCCACTTAAGGAGCTGAGCTTTCTTCCCTGCCTGTCTGTCTTCTTTAATCAATCAATTTGCAGGATTGGGGGTAATATGTTTGATGACATAGAAGAAGAAGAAGAAAGGATTCAAAAGAATAAGCAGCAGTCGAGTAGTTGTTGCTGTGGGCATTGATGGTGTGTGGATTTGTAGATCTTGCAAAGAAGGGAACATTTGAAAGATTGAAGAAGATAGTTCTAACAAATTAAAGTTCCTTACATATATGACATATGATGCTTCATTCTTTGCCCTTGCTGAATTGCTGTGACTGTGTTCTTTAATTTTCGGAAGCCGTTGCTGGAAATTAAAGTGTACTGTGAAATTTAGGGAGGATTCATATCCCATTCGCTAAAGACAGTTTTGAAAAATCTCATCGGCATTTGTAAAGTTACAAAGGGTGTGGATCCAATTCAATCTGATAATAACAATTTAGCGGATTAAATGTGGATCGAATTGACGAATTTTATGTTTAAAAAATAAAATAATTTATAATACAAGATTTCAAACATTAAACAATCAAAATAATCAATTTTCAAGCATTTCATTTAAATAAAAAAAAAACAAAAAACTAAAAAAAAACAAACATGCAAATTTTAATTAGAGTAAATACACAAAATGGTCCCTCGACTATAGCTAAATTCACAAATTGGTCCTCAATTTTCAATTTCAATCAATTAAGTCCTTTACTTTGCAATTTTGACACGATTTGGTCCTCCATCTATTTGACCATTTGTTGACCGTGATCGACGATCTCCAGAAGAACCTTCAGCTCTCGTCGGAGCACGTGGAGGCCTCTAGGATGACGTTGCACCGTCTTCTTTGCTCTGGTACGAACTTAAATACATTGAATCCAAATGGAGGATGAAGAAAGGCGACCGGATTTGGTAGATTGCTTTCGGCAATAGATTCGAATGTAACAGTGCGGTCTGAAAATGCAACCGGAACCTTAAAAAACCGATGATGGACCATGAAATTACATATATATCCTCAAAAATCACAACAAACGATCAAATAGACAGAGGTCCAAATTGCGTTAAAATTACAAAGTTAAGGACTTAATTAATTGAAATTAAAAATCGATAACCAATTTATGAATTTAGCTATACTCGAAGGACCATTTTTGGTATTTACTCTTTTAATTATAAATATAATCTTCATTCATCTTTAATGAAAATGGAACGAATTGGATAAGGATTCCCTTGCGTGGATGCCTTGGAATGGGTCATGAACATTGAAAGATGGGTCTTCAAATTCACTTAGTTCGAATTCTACGTATGTAGTAACTTTAAAAGTTTTTTTTTTTTTTGGTGTAAACCACACTTTGTGGTCCAGGTTTTTCTCTGTCCGTTTAACGGTCCAGGTCCACTCGGTTTGCTCCGAGAGGCACAGAAGTTGGCCCAAAAGGAATCGTCACTTGTGAAAATAAAACTCGAGTTATCCCAGAATTCTCCCCCACAAAGAGAGCTCATTTACCACTTGAACTACCCTGTTGGGTTAACTTTAAAAGTTAATTCCACTGAAAGTCCATTGTTTTGGTGGTAATTTCAAATTTAGTTACCATTCCTCACATCCTTATCCGTATCCTTTGTTTTTGGATGTTTCACGCAACAAATTGGATTTATTTATTTTGTGAAAACGCTACAAATTTATACATGAATTTATATATTAAATATATTTAGTGGGAATATAACTTTTTTGGATATAAATTATAGGATTAGGAACCCAATAATCTTATAATCTACGGATTACTATTCTGTCTTCCACACCGGTATCCTCTCTGCCCACTGTTTTTCTCCGCAAATCCGAAAGCTATCTCCTTCCTTCTTTCTTCTTCCCGCATATTTCTCCAAATTTTCTTTAGCTTTCAATTCCTTTTTTTTTCCCAATCCAACACAGTTTCAATGTATATACCCATAGATTCACAAACCTTTTCGTTTTCCATCATTGTTTATTTATACTAAATCATCCTTTGGGAACCGCGGATTCGCGCATCTAGTTGTGGGCTATCCTTTGAACCTTGTATAGCCTAGATCTAACTTCTACTGATGCTTAATTGAAATTGACAGGCTGAAAACAAATAAAATTGCCTGGAATTGTGGTATTTGTGTGAAGGTGTAAAAAATATCGATACTTTGGGTTTTATTTCAGGTTTTCTAATCTGGGTATATTTGGAATTGGTGTAAATTGATAGGAAGAATCAATGTCTGTGAGGTTTCTTGGGTGGTTGGATCAAATGGTTGGATTGAAGACGGTTAGTGTGAATGTTGGGATGCTCCATTATGTGCTGGATCATGTGTATGGAGCATTTGTGCACAGAACAAATATTAGCCCTCCCTTCTTTTCCAGAGGGTGGGGTGGCTCAAAGCTTGAGCTTATAGAAAGAATGGTAAAGCAGCTCTTCCCTGGTGTGGAAGGCCAGAACTGGCCCCCCACATTGATGCAGCCCAGTTGGAAAACAGTTTGGGAGTCCAAGTCTGCTTGTCTGAGAGAAGGGGTGTTTAAGACTCCCTGTGATGAGCAGCTTCTTAGTGCCTTGCCTCAGGAGAGTCATACTGGCAGGGTTGCCTTTCTTGTGCCCAAATGTGTGCCTCCAGATAGAATGTCCTGTGTGGTACATCTAGCAGGTAGCATAGTTGAATTACTTTTATGGTTTCTTTATTTGATGCTGAATTTTGGTTAATTGACTTAATTCTCAATCTGTTTATTTAGTAGAAATTTCCTGTTCTCTGATTTGCAGCTTTTAAAGAACAGTATAATTGTATTGAGATGGCTTTCTAGCCTTCTAGGGTTGAATTCTCATCACTAGTAGCAGTTTGTAGTTCACTATTTTAACTATCCTATCCCAAATTAAGCTACCTGGTTTGAGAATTGAAGTTTGAAAGCATGCCATAAATTGTGAAGCGTTTAGTTGGTAACTTAGTTGCTTGGCAGTTGATTCAGTAATGAGAAACAAGATCCTAAATGAAAATTTCATTTTGTACAACATATAGTTCTGTTTAGATAAGGTTGAATTCTTTTGTGGTGGTCTATTGTTGTTTGTTTACTTATAGATAGGATAAGATGCACTTAGTACTGACTTCTCAAGGATATGTGGTAGGTGCATCCATAAAAAGAAAGAAAAACTCTAAATTGATTTTAATATTTTATAGCTCCCGACATCAGAAGCACACATCAGTGAATTCTTTAATTAGTGATGTGCTAAAAACGCAATCTTTATGAACCTTTTTTCCTTCCTTTTCCTTGCACATTCCAATTCACAAAAACTGCCTTGACTATTCCCTAGTAAGTGAAACACTTGTCTCTTTAGGTCTTGTAAGAATGATATAAACAATGTGTTATTGGTTTAGTTTTTGGGCTTCATGTTCTTTTTTACTTTTCCCTTTCACTCATTTTAATGCATAGCCTCACCCTATTAAGAGTTTTGGAAGTATATAGTGAAATTTATTTTCTTTATAAGTCCAATGGTATTGGCTTGAGACTGTGTAAGAGGTCTAGGTTCTATCCTTACTCCCATTAGATGGACCTCAATTACTAAAAAGAAGAATGATATGGTTCGGGCACATTATAAAGGAATTCAAATAAATTATAAATAAAAGTTCAGGCAGTCTTCTTGTTTCATTCATCCCTACCTACTACTCTCTTTGGCAAATGGTGGAAATGGGTTCTTGATCAAGGACACTGTCTTTATTGTGATTCCCTTTCCTCCCCTTATTTTCAGTCAACATGCGGGTTAAATGTTTCAAAAAGAATTCTTGAATTGTTGGATTTGCTTTTACAGGTACAGGAGATCATACATTTGAGCGAAGATTACGCCTAGGTGGACCGTTACTGAAAGAGAATATTGCAACAATGGTCCTTGAGAGGTAACGGGCCAACTCTGCAAACAAATAGTATCTTCAAGAAATAAATGCCCGAGTTTTTAATGATTTCGTGATCAAGTGTTATCTCATCAGTTTATCAGAAGAAGGGAAGAAAGATTAAGTGACATCTGACCTATGTATAAATGTGGTGTTTGTGCAGCCCTTTCTATGGGAAAAGACGCCCAATGTTGCAGCGTGGTGCAAAACTTTTGTGCGTGAGTGATCTGCTGTTGCTAGGAAGAGTCACTATAGAAGAGGCCCGTAGTCTATTGCATTGGCTAGACTATGAGGCTGGATTCGGGAAAATGGGCGTCTGTGGTCTTAGTATGGGTAAGGCAAACACGTACCTATGCATACATACAGAACATGTTGAATAAAACTGGAAAACAATTATCATTTCAAAGTATGTTTATCTTCTATGGTGTATCTAGGCGGAGTACATGCAGCTATGGTCGGATCCTTGCACCCTACACCTATTGCTATATTCCCCTTTCTCTCTCCACATTCAGCTGTAGTGGCATTTTGTGAAGGGATATTAAAGTATGGCACGGCCTGGGAAGCACTCAGAAAAGATCTTGATGTGCAGGATAATAGTGCCATGACACTCGAGGAAGTAAGAGAACGGATGCGGAATGTGTTGTCTCTAACAGATGTCACACGGTTTCCAATCCCCAAGAATCCAAGCTCTGTTATATTCGTAGCAGCTACAGTAAGTTCTGAATCCTCGTATGTGTCTGCATATGTTTCTTGTGGAGAGTTGAATTTGAAATGACAATGTGGGTTAGATCCACATGTTACCGTACTTGGGCATTGTGGACCTTGGTCCAAAACGACATTCAGATTACGTATCTGCAGTTAACATATTGCCCCTGTTTGGTAAATGGCTATTAGCTGATAGCTGTTACCTGTTAGTTGATTGGGTTAATTTGAGGGTATAACTAGTTGATAACATTAGCTGATTGTAGAAATGTGTTTGGTAAATTAGCTGTTAGCTGATAGCTGTTTGGTATAATTTATTTTCTCAAAAAGCTAATTGAAATAGTTGCTTTGAGCAGCTTTTTGAATTTTAGCATTTTGGAGTTACAAAAAGCTAATTAACCAAACACTTATATTGATTTTTTAACCAAATCCAAAAGCTAATAGTGGTCAAATAAGCCAAAATTGGCTTATAGGCTAACTATTTTACCAAACAGGGCTATGTACCTCCATTATGTTTCTATTACGATATATAATATGTTAATTGCTGACACATAATTTGAATGCCATTTTAGACCATGGTCCATAATGCAAGGTGAACCACTGGTCCATGGTATAATTTGCCTGGTGCAGGGCCACCCTCTAAGGCCGGTACAACCTGGGTTGGCACAACACGGACCACATGTTGGCCTATGCTAGCATTGCCAATTTGACAATCACCGAGTCAAAGGCATTTAGAACCATCTAAATGACTCGAATGCAGCCTTCTGCTAGCCCTTCGAGGGTTTATCTTACGAGAATTTAACCAATTTGAATCTTCTGTTTCGATCCCTACTATTACAGGACGATGGATATATCCCAAAACACTCTGTGTTGGAACTTCAAAAGGCGTGGCCTGGCTCAGAAGTGAGATGGGTTACTGGAGGGCACGTCTCGTCCTTCCTGCTCCATAATGGTGAGTTCCGCAGGGCAATAGTGGACGGGCTTAACCGGTTACCATGGAAAGAATCTCCCGTCTGACCATAACAAACTCGGTAAGAAGACGTGTTTTCATGTAATGACTAGTTAACCCTTGTCTGTATACTGGGTCACGGCTGCTGATACCTGAAACCACGTGATAGATGATACTGAAACTCTGAAAAGTGAGCTACCCTCCAACTCTCTGTACTAGAAAGATGAGTTGGAGATGTTGATACAAAACTGTCAATTAACTTATACCCATGTTTTCATCTATTGGCCTGTTCATGAAGATATCTGATTGATCCATAACAGTGATTTGAATAATTATTTCTTCTGTTGAACAAATGTAAATTTCAAATCTGAGATGTGTATATGATGATATGCCTTGTGGCATGGGATCTTGGCTGTCAAGGGTATCTTTTGGTTTGGGGTTTTGGGGAATGTAAAAGAAGAAGACAAATTAAAGGGAATATATCATTATTGTCTTCCTTTTTCCTCATTTGCACAACCCCATCACCACCATGGTAGTGTTGTCAGCCCTCATCATCATCATCATCACTCCAAGCATTTTTCCTTTTTATGCACTTATTTTAACTTTTTTTTTTTTTTTTTTAAAGGGGAAAGTCCGAGATAAATCTGTTTAGGTTGTACATAGCTAATTGAGTCAAATCAAAAAGTCAATATACAATTCTCACATAAGTTGAATTTAAAATATCGTGATTATTAAATTAATAATTCAACCAACTTTATTTTATATATCTTTAACACATGAGATTGGAGAGGAAGGGGTGAGGTGGGGTTCACAATACCAAAATGTGACACAAAAATAGTGATCGAATAGTGAGCATAATACTCGTGTTTTTGTCAATATTCTCCCAGTCAAGTCTATCACACATGAAACCTAGCGACTACCAAGTTAACAAGTTGATTAATTTGACCGGGGTTGTTTAAAGGGGTGGCTGATTGAATAGAGGGTGAAGTAAAATTCTCATGTCTTGAAGGTCAAAGACTTAATTTTTGTCAAATACTTTTAAAAGAATATCTTTTTAATGTAATTTATCAAATATGGTTACCGGACCAATGAAAAGATGCTTAAAAAAAAAAAAAAAAAAAAAACTTGCGTTTTCCATGTTCATGTTACTGTTGAAAATTCTCCATACCATTACTGTGACTATTTTTTTACGCAATAAAAACAAACAATTTTTCCATTTAGTATTCACACAAAAATTTACTGCTTGCAAACACTGAACTGTGATAATGAACATCATCTCTTCTCGTCTCCCTTTCCTTCCTCTCTCTCTCATCCTCTTTCTCTCTCTACTGTCTCCTTCCCCGGTCGCCGGCGGCGAGCGTTGCCACCCATACGACAAGAAAGTTCTCCTGAAAATCAAGGAGGATCTAGGCAACCCCTACCATTTTGCCTCTTGGGACCCCAAAACAGACTGCTGCGATTGGTACGTGGCGAAATGCGATGAAACCACCAACCGGATCACTACCCTCAACGTCATCACCGCGGATTTCGCCGGCCAGATTCCGGCGTCCGTCGGGGACCTTACATATCTCAAGACGTTGATATTCCACAAGGTCGCGAAACTCACCGGAAACATTCCGTCTTCCGTCACGAAGCTCACCCACCTCACGTTCTTGGAGGTTAGCTGGACGAACGTCTCCGGCGCCGTTCCGGCGTTCCTCAGCCAGCTCAAGAACCTAACTTACCTCGACCTGTCGTTCAACAATTTTAGCGGTATGTTAGTATGTACATGTACAGGTTGCATATTTATATTAAAGAACAACTTTTACATTGTCTAATTACTTAAATTTATTTTTTTTATATCGTCACACATTTTTGAAACATTGATTGCTCAGTTGTTATACCGTGGACCCTGGTCCTAAATTATATATTTTTAGTATTGAAATTGTAAAGTTCTAGAATATAAATTGTGTTTCTAAGTTTTGAAAACAGTGTCATCACAAATTATAAATTTTTAAAAGATAAATTGTGAACATTTAGTATGTAAATTTTGTATCTATGGACCCGAGTGCACGGAATAATTTGCCTTGATTGTTGGACTTGGCCGTCTCAACCCAAGAATCTTGTTTTTTTTTTTAAAGAGTTAATAACTGATTTGGTCCTTAACTATAGTAAAATTACCGATTTAATTATCAACTATCATCCTTACCAAATTCTCAATTTTAAAAAATAATTTAGCTATATTATTGATTTATGTTCTCTTTAATCTCAACAGGTTCTATCCCGGAGTCTCTAGGTGAGCTCAAAAACCTAGAGGCGTTACACTTAGACAGGAACAAACTCACCGGAACTATTCCGGAATCTTTCGGGAAATTTCCCAAGGCGCCGGCTCTTTATCTCTCCCACAACCAACTCACCGGCACGTTGCCGGAGTCCTTCGCCAAACTTGATTTCGAGACTATAGACTTGTCACGGAACAAGCTAGAAGGCGACGCGTCCTTCTTGTTCGGGAAAAACAAGACTGTCCAGGTTATCGACTTGTCGAGAAACGCGTTCCAGTTCGACTTCTCCAAGGTAAAGGGGTTTTCCGACAGCTTAACCTTGTTGGATTTGAACCATAACAAGATCGCCGGAGCGCTGCCGGCGGCGCTGACGAAGATAGAAAACTTGCAGCTGTTCAACGTGAGTTATAACAGACTTTGCGGCGAGATCCCGCAAGGTGGGGAGCTTCAGAGGTTCAACAAATACGCCTATCTTCATAACAAGTGCTTGTGCGGTCCGCCATTGCCGGCGTGTTAGTGTCGATCTGCAAATCTTTTTCCGGTTTGCTGCAGAATAAGCTTGCATTAATATCTATGTAATAAGGGGTTGAATTTCCATGTGAAGTAATGGTAGCCATTTGAGCAAGAATTGCAATGCAAGTTTAATTTGGTTTGGTATGTTTTTTGCACTCTATTATTTCCATACTTATATCGCTCAAAGTGAGGAGCTTTTTGTGCGGGGTAAGCAAATGTCTAGCCTTTGTGTTCAACTAAGTTACCATGATTTACACCATCATTCCTAGATATGGCGTGGGGGCCATCAGGGTATCTTTACAACAATTGCGATAGACGACATCGATAAATTTATTCTTGCTCTTGTGTAATAACTTGCTAATAATGTTAATTAGTTGTGTTATTGTTGCGTTAAGTTTAAATGTGTAATTGTGAATGAAATATATAGTGTATATAGATAATTTTTAGTACACAAGCAAAGTTCTATGAAGTTTAGAAGGTCAAAATATTATCATCGGGTTAAAAAAATACTAAGGATACTCTTTCAGCTGCAAAGTCCCCTCTTCTGTAGAGCAAGTTGACTAGGGCATGTGGCGCTCACCTACAGGTCAGTTAAGTTGATTTGATCGTGTCATGTGATGATGCTAAAGAGACTCGAGTGAGTGTGAGAGTTGAGAAGGTGCTTCACATGCTACTTGCTCGTTCGGGTAGAGTTCACTTCCCGACTTGAAAGGTCGAGAATCAGTGAATCATTATACTGAAGTCCTTTATAACTAGCTAGTAATTAACATATACACTCTGTGTATCCTCATCACCAGCAAACTATACATAAGAGATAAATAGATCAAAATTTAGACCTTGTAAAAACTTTAAACTGTACAAATTGAAAATCATCATATTCTATTCACTCACTAAGTATCTTTCAAAGTCATGTTACCCCTTTATTAAAGTAAACTTCTAATTAATATAAGTCTTAAACCTTAAATTTATCATATATTGTATTTAGATGAAAAATATCTATTTATGAAGTGTCCAAACTAAAACGTATTATCATTTTTCGAAGTTAAGGTGTGAATAAAGACAAGAAAGCCAGCACATATATGGATTAAGTATGTTATAGACTATAGTGTTATACGAAGTAATAATAGGAGCTAGCCATCATTTTCCCCACGTGTCCACTGTTCACGGCGTGTAAAGCGCCAAGCCGACGCGGCGGCTCCGACGACTATGACAGGCCCACTTTGACGTTGGGACAGCCGAACACGAGACCGGTAAAGCTTTGTCTGTCTTCCATTAATGATTCCACTTGTTACATGTGAATACGGTCAGAGCGTAGTCAAAAATCAAAGTCAGAGCGAAAATTTAAAGCATTAAAGATTTTTTTTAAGGTGATGGGGATTATACCCGGTCTGCACGTACGGGTTATCCGACCTGGTCAAATGTGCGCCCTTAGACTCTGCCCGGTCACCCGCTCGTCTATTTCTGTACCTGTTGTTTATGGGTTATCTTGCCCGGTCAGCGGCATGCTCTAGCTTGTGCCCGGTTGCCTGGTCATCTTCATCGTACCCGTTGTTCTGGAGTCTTCCACCGGTGGTGGCCGGTGACCGTTCGGGTCAAAGGCTCCCGCAACTGTCGGAAGACACACGCCACGTGCACGGCTGCATGCTCGCCTTCTCAAGACCCGGTGCATGAACGCCACGTGTCTGCCATGCCGAAAGGCCGAGCGCAGCTCCCTAGGTCTCCTATAAATACTGCATTTATTGCCTTAGGGAAGGACTTTTTACCTACCTTAGAATTGGTATTTAAGAGGTTTCCGGTCACGTTATTCGATCGGTCAACCTAGAATTCTACTGTACTGAACTACGGTGGTTTTATCCACATCAAAGGTTATAATTAATATACATTATTGTGTATGCTATAAAAGTACTTCCTCCGTGTCTTGATTCGGTTGATGAGGTTTGACTGAAGTTTTTTTAAATATAATTTTTCATAATATTAAGTTTAGTATTAGTATACAAAATTGATATATTTAGAAATTATACTGATGAATAGTAAGTAGGACAGATGAAGTATTTATTTTTAGTATACTACATATCTATTTTTGGTGGGAAAAAAATTTAGTAATCACTATTTGCGGATGTGTATCAGACTATCAAGTAAACTTCGTCTTGTGACTTTAGCAAACAAGGGACCTCCTAATAGGCACTACCACTGGGAATTGAACTTGTAACGTTGTAGTTACCAAGTCAATAGCTTAACAATCTTGTCCGAAGTTGCCCCCATTGCATATTCATTTTTACCCTAGTATATATATATATGTTTATTTTTAATAAGTTCGTTATATTTTGACACAAGTTACTGTGGAAAAAATCTCCCGTATGACCATAACAAACTCGGTAAGAAGACACGTTTTCATGTAATGACTAGTTAACCCTTGTGTGTATACTGGATCATGGCTGCTGATACCTGAAACCACCTGATAGATGATACTGAAACTCTGAAATTAAAGATGAGTTGGAGATGTTGATATATACAAAACTGTCAATTAACTTGTACCCATGTTTTCATCAATTGGCCTGTTCACGAAGATATCTGATTGGTCCATAACAGTGATTTGAATAATTTTTCTTGTGTTGAACAAATGTAAATTTCAGGGTAATTGTCAAATCTGAAATGTGTGTATGATGATATGCATTGTGGCATGGGATCTTGGCTGTCAAGGCTTTCTTTTGTGGGGCATTTGGTTTGGGGTTTTGGGGAATGGAAAAGAAGAAGACAAATTAAAGGGAAGAAATTATTGTCTTCCTTTTTCCTCATTTGCACAGCCCCATCCCCACCATGGTAGTGTTGGCAGCCCCCATCATCATCATCATCACTCCAAGCATTTTTCCTTCTTTAAGCACTTTTATATATATATATATATATATATATATATATATATATATATATATATATATATATATATATATTACGGAAAAGCTCAAGATAAACCAGTTTATATTGTACATAATTAATTGATTCAAATCAAAAAGGTCAATATACAACTCTTACCGGAAGTTAAATTTAAAATATTGTGATTATCAAATTAATAATTTATCCAACTTGACTGAAATTGTTCTTTATCTTATATATATCTCTAACATATGAGATTGGGGAGGAAGGGGTGGGGTGGGGTCCAAAATGCGACGCAAAAAGGGTTATCGAATGGTGAGCATAACTCTCGTGTTTTTGTCAATATTCTCCTAGTCTAGTCTGTTACACATGAAACCTAGCGACTACCAAGTTAACAAGCTGACTGATTTGACTTGGATTGTTTCAAAAATGATGACTGATTAAGTGGAGTGTAGAGTAAAATTCTTGTACCCGACTTATATCTTTTTAATGTAATTTACCACTCAGATATGATTTACTCCTACCAATAAAAGTATTCTTTAAAAAAGAAGAAATCTTGCGTTTTCCATGTGCATGTTACTATGACTACTTTTTTACGCTATAAATACAATCAATTTTTCCATTTAGTATCCACACACAAATTATTGCTTGCAAACACAGTACTTTGATAATGAACATCATCTCTTCTTGTCTCCCTTTCCTTCCTCTCTCTCTCATCCTCTTTCTCTCTCTACTGTCCCCTTCCCCGGCCGCCGCCGGCGAGCGTTGCCACCCATACGACAAGAAAGTTCTCCTGAAAATCAAGAAGGATCTAGGCAACCCCTACCATTTTGCCTCTTGGGACCCCGAAACAGACTGCTGCGAATGGTACGTGGTGAAATGCGATGAAATCACCAACCGGATCATTACCCTCAACGTCATCACCGCGGATTTCGCCGGCCAAATTCCGGCGTCCGTCGGGGACCTTACATATCTCAAGACGTTGGTATTCCACAAGGTCGCGAAACTCACCGGAAACATTCCGTATTCCGTCACGAAGCTCACCCACCTCACGTTCTTCGAGGTTAGCTGGACGAACGTCTCCGGCGAAGTTCCGGCGTTCCTCAGCCAGCTCAAGAACCTTACTTACCTCAACCTGTCGTTCAACAATTTTAGCGGTACGTTACATGTTTAAGGTTGCATATTTATATTAAAAAAATAACTTTTACATTGTCTAATTATTTAAATATTTTTCTTAAAATCAAACTATTAGTATTTCTTTATACTGTCACACATTTTCTAATTATTACTCTGTATTAATTTATGTTCTCGTTAAACAGGTTCTATCCCGGAGTCTCTAGGTGAGCTCAAAAAGCTGGAGGCCTTTCACTTAGACAGGAACAAACTCACCGGAACTATCCCGGAATCTTTCGGGAAATTCCCCTCGCCGCCGCCGGATCTTTATCTCTCCCACAACCAACTCACCGGCACGTTGCCGGCGTCCTTCGCCAATCTTGATTTCGTGAGGATAGACTTGTCCCGGAACAAGCTGGAAGGTGACGCGTCCTTCTTGTTCGGGAAAAAGAAGACTGCCCAGATTATCGACCTGTCAAGAAACGCGTTCCAATTCGACTTCTCCAAAGTGAAGGGGTTTTCCAAAAGCTTAATCTGGCTGGATCTGAACCATAACAAGATCACCGGAGCACTGCCGGCGGCACTGACGAAGATAGAACACTTGCAGCAGTTCAACGTGAGTTATAACAGACTTTGCGGCGAGATCCCGCAAGGTGGGGAGCTTCAGAGGTTCGACAAATACGTCTACCTTCACAACAAGTGCTTGTGCGGTCCGCCATTGCCGGCGTGTTAGTGTCTTTTTCCGGTTTGCTGCAGAATAAGAGTGCATTAATATCTATGTAATAAGGGGTTGAATTGCATGTCATGTGAAGTAATGGTAGCCATTTGAGCAAGAATTGCAAGTTTAATTTGGTTTGGTATGTTTTTTGCACTCTATTTTTTTGACTACTTATGTCTCTCTACTTGTTTAATTATATTACTCCCCAACCAAAACATACTTTTACTAAGAAGTATTCAATTCTAATTCTAATGATTACAACTAAAATCATTTATTACTAATTCAGTATTCAATTTTAATCTTTACAACACTTGTGATGGGCAACATTGACCGATTTGTTCTCGCTAATAATGTTAAGTTTAAATGTGTAATTGTGAATGAAATATTATAGTGTATATAAATAATTTTTAGTACACAAAGTTCTGATGAAGTTTATAACGTCGAAATGTTCTCAGCGGGTCAAAAAAATACTAAAGATACTCGGCTCTTTCAACAAAGTCCCCTCTTCTCTGTAGAGCAAATTGACTAGTGCATGTGGTCCTCTGGCCTACAGATGCTATGTGATGATGTTAAAGATACTCGAGCGAGTGTGATGGTTGAGAAGGCGCTTCACATGTTGCTTGTTGGTTAGGGTAGGGTTTACTCCCCCGACTTGAAAGGCCGGGAAGCACATTTAATTACCACAACACTGAAGTCCTATATAACTAGTAATTATCATATACGTTCTATGTATCCTCATCACCTGTAAACTATACATAAGGGGTAAATAATAGATCAAAATTTAGCCATTAATTGTGAAGACTTTGAACCGTACAAATTCATAATAAATCATCATTTCCTACCCACTCATCATATCCTTCAAGGCCGTATTACCCCTTTATTAAACTAAACTTATAATATAAGTCTTGAAACTTGAATCTTTTGTCAGGTATCATATATATATTGTATTTAGATATTTCTTTCAAGTCAATGTACTCTATATTCAAGAAGAAAACTATTTGATCTATTTATGAACTTGAATCATACCATGGATCAAGGTTCACTTTGTAAGGTAAACTCAGATTCAAAATATATTATTTACATACTGAAGGTTTACAATTTACATTTTACATACACAAATTATATACTAAATATTCACAATTTACTCTTTTTAATAAATATTTAATATATAAATGATGTATTTTGAATTCGGGTCCACCCATATATAGAATAATTTGGCAATTATGAAGTGTCCAAACTACAACGTTATTATTTTCGAAGTTAAGGTGTGAATAAAGACAAGAAAGCCAGCACATATGGATAAGTATGTTATACGAAGTAATTAATAATAGGAGCCATGCATATTTTCCTCACGTGTCCACTGTTCACGGCGTGTAAAGCGGCATGCCGACGCGGCGGCTCCGACGACTATGACAGGCCCTTTTTGACGTTGGGACAGCCGAACACGAGACCGGTAAAGCTTCGTGTATGCTATAAAAAGGTTCCGAGGATTTATTTTTAGTATACTGCAGATCTATTATTGGTGAAAAAAAAATTACAGTCACTAACTGCGAATGTGTACAAGAATATCAACTAAACTTTGGCTTATGAAGTGGACAAAAGACATCATAATAAGAGCTTTCGTTACGAGTTAAACTTGTAACGTTGTGATTATGAAGTCAACAACGTAACCTGACAAACTTATCCGGAGTAGCCTCCATTGCATATTTATTGAATCATTTTTACTATACTATATATGCTCATCTTTAATAACTAGCTTCATTATATTTTGACATAAGTTCATTTTTAGAGTAATACAAACTTATTTTTAGTTTATTTTTTTAAAAATGAACATGATTTATCTTACAGTATGGACCATGATCCACAATATAATTTGTCTTAGCAACACCATATTTATGACAAGGATCCCTTTAAAGGATGCTCGAAAACTTACGAGCCTAAACTTGATTTGTCAAAGGTGAGTCGGTCATCAAATCAATTCAATAATTAAATCTTTAGTTCACATGGGCAGCTTAGTTGGTGCACTGGAAAAGACGACTAGCATTGGTCGCCTTGGTCACTTTTTTTTTCCCTAGCCAGTGGCAATGCCAATTTACGGTGGTCAACGTGACATTCAATGATCAACGGCGGTCACATCATCATAATTTTACCAGTAACATGTTGGTTATCCGTAAATAAGATTTATTTGCCTTATTTTTACTTCGTATAAGTTAAAATGCTTAATTGAACCTTTTAAAAGTTTAAACACATAAGTACTTATTTGTGTAAAGTTTAATATGTATTTGACATTTTTTTCTTAATAATAAAAAGTTAAATTTATTTTCAACGTTCAAGGAAATCTTTTATATATGTTCTTTCATTAGAAAATTGGGCCATGGGATTTGTATTGGGCAATTATTTAGCCCATATATAATTTTCAGATTGAATGTAGCCCATACGTTATTGATGTCCATCTCCATCCAGTTCAGCCCAATTCAATAATGTTCTCCACTTTGTAGTTGTAAGCATAAATTACTTTCTACATTGTAGTTGTAGTAACGTATGTTGTGTATATATATATATATATATATATATATATATATATATATATATATATATATATAACAGTGTTGATTTGTATCAGTGACTCTTGAAAAAAAAAAAATTTAAAGTCAAAAAGTATGGAAATAATGTTAACTTTCTACTTGGTATAAACTCAAAGTCTTAACATTTATGCAGTATTGAAAATAAAAGTCATGCGTGTCAATAGATACTTTAGAATTTTTCATATATATAGTGTATATATACTACCTTCACTATATACATTTATATGTAACTAATTACCAAAAGTAATCACGGAAGGTGTTAGGCCGAAGCATGCAATGTTTATTAGGTGGATCATGCATAGGATATATTCATATATTACTTCTATACATAAGGTACATTATTTTCTATGCATAAGGTGCATTATATGTATACATAATGTTCATTATTTGAATGTGTACAAAACAGTATGAAAACAACTTGAGGGTTCATTATTTGTGTGCATAAAGTTCATTATGTGAGTATGTACACACTAATTGAAGATTATATTTTCAATTATGTGAGAGTTCGTCACCATTTACCTCCCGTTGCTATTATATTTTCATCACAAATCAATATTTTTACTAGTGGCCATTAAAACAACAACATAACTGTCTAAAATTTCATATTAATTTTTATTAATCGTCATTACATATGAAATAATTAGAAGGGAATTGTCTTCTCTAAAATTAAAAGATAGTCTTGCATTATAAGAAATTTATAGTTAAACTATTAAAATTTGTAGGTAATCAATTTGTCAATGAATTTTCGTAGGTAAAACATTGAAATTTGTAAGTATTTAACCTGAAACTATTTAATTCATAGCTAAATCTATAACATTTTTTTTAATGTTTTCTTTATAGTGTCGGACTTAATAGACTAAATGACATTCTTGACTTCAACACTTTATATTATACATTAATTACTTTTGAATAATACATTCACTTTCAAATTAAAACATAATATCCGTATTTACCGTAATTAACACTGAACACACATCTTGGTGTCATTACATAATCCCATCGAATAGGCAAAGAGTTCCACGATTTTTCTTATTATTTGTGTACTAGTGTAGCTAGGCTGGTGCACCAAAACAAATCTTGCCATTGACAATATTCTCTCTAATGCAATAAATTATATCCTAATCTGATCTTTCACCCCAAAAACAGTGGCCAAGTAGATAAAGCATGATTCTCGTATTTGATAATTACACGTTCAATTTTTGCCTATACTTTCTTGGCTGAGTTTGTCGCATTAGGTCCTCTTAGAGCAGCTTATCATCCCATATATATGAAAAAAGAAAAAAAGTAATAATATCCTCAACTTTCAATTTAATCATACATTTCATAATAATCATAAAATAATAAATAAAAGTCCGCACGGGCTTAGCTTAATGGTTCAGTAGGCAGTATTTGAGAGAAGAGACCAATGTTTGAACCTCAGTGGCGGCAGTGTGAGAATTATGCCCAAAGTGGACAGATTCCTGATGATTTACATCCTCCTAAATGTTCTGTTGGGTCAGGGTGTGGGAGCTTTTGGAGATTCAACATTTTGGGAGAAGGAAAATAATAAATGAAACTGTTTTACCTTCTTGTTGTTATTTTTAGACTAAAATCACATGGATATTGGATGGTGTGGTTTATGGAGTAAACATAGGTTGTTTTACCTTCTTGTTGTCATTTTTCGACTAAAATTATGTGGATGGTGGAATTTACTCAATGCACACCTCAGATAGTGGTTGCGATTTCAATTCCCTTATCACTCAAAAATTAAAAAAAAATTAAAAAATAAAAGGGGAAACAAAAGTAAACACTCAAGCTAGCATGCGGGTTTTGAACGAAATTGAAGGAGAAAAATAAGGGAGTAGAGGAAGAGTTTGCTGAAATGATTCCCTTTTGAGTGCTGCATAACAACAACTACCAACTACTATACACCATCAACAAAATCATGGGTAGAACTGCCCTACACTTCATCTCTCTCTCTCTCTCTCTCTCTCGCATATATAAAATCATGTTTTTTTTTTTTTTTGGGGGGGGGGGGGGGGTGGGCTACAAGTCATAACCAATCATTTTAGTCGTTTAAAATATTTGATAATCGTTTGACTTTGTATGCTAATTTATTCTTTGCAACCTAATTCATGTGAAATACCTAATCTCAAGATGATGAGTCGAGTTCCTCGTTATCTTCGTGCAATTTAGACTTGCCGCACGCCCGGACATGACTTGGTTTTGAGGTAATATTTAATTCACGAAAAAATGTTTCATTTTATATAACATACTGAATCATATTGATGGTGTTGGATTTTATGATGTTTGGGACATTGGGTTAAGCATATTGCAAAATCTCCTATAAGATTATACTGTTTTACAGATCCTCATCCGTAAGAATTGAGATAGTACATATTTTCAATAAATATTACACTTTCTCTTATAGGTATTTTAATTTTTTCTGTAAGTAACTCTTTAACCACTGTTATTAAATTTTGATTTAAAAGTATTATATTTTTCATTAAAAGTATCACATTTTTCTTTTAGTATTACATTTTCATTTTGATCCAACTAGTCTCATGAAAAAGATCTATGAAATGGCCTCATAAGAAAACTCCCTCGAAACGTATTATTGGATTGGAACAACATGCTTATAAACCGGGGGATTAGGGTTAAGCTAGCTAGGGGTGTGGCATCAGCCGACCTAGAATGCATGGGTGGTGGTGGTGGAATATTCCCAATTTGCACGGTAATAGGCCGGCAAAGGAGAGGAAGGCAAGTTATTGTGTGGACACATCATCTATATGGACTATAACAAAACGTATATTTTTAATATACTAAATATACATTATTTTTGTATTACATGTACATTATACAATATAATGTACATCCCTGAATACAATGTATATTATTTTACACTATACAAAATATGGTCCATACAATTTGTGTGGACCATGGTCGACACAATAATAATTGGGATAGGAACCATTGGAGTAGACATAGTTATTTATATATGGAAAGGAAAAGGGTGAAATAGACCCTTAAACTTTACCTGAAAGTGCAACTAATTTCTTGAAATTTAAACAAGTGCAATTAGACACTTAGACTTGTCATTTTGGTACATCTAAATTAAATCCAATAACCAGTCAATCACCTGGAATAATCGGTTATTAGGATTTTGTCAACAATTTCAGCGATCGACGAACGGTTGTCGGTTGCCGCCGCTGCCATTGCCACTGAAGAATCCAATTGTATTCTCCATTAAGGGTCTGTTTGGAAACCCGGAAAATGATTTCTGGAAATTATTTTCCGGGTTTTGAGTGTTTGGCTAGGTTTGAAAATGAATAGTCATAGAAAAATGAAGAGATGTCAATGGAAAATGAGCCCAGATTTCTGGAAAATGACTTCCCCTTTTTTTGGGAGAAATCATTTTCCATCTTCTCCACACACTTGCTTCACTTCAACTCCCCCTCCTCCTTCAACGCATAGACAACTCCACGTCTCCACCAACAATGTTTCCGATGGAAACCTCCGCCGGAAACAACAGCTGTGGTTTCCGGCGAAAACCAGATCACTAGTTTTCGCCGAAAACATTTATTAAAAAAAAAAACGAGAGAAGTTCTCTTTGGGCGTAAGAAACCAGAGAGAACTTCTCCCTGGTTTCCCTCGCCGGAAACTAGAGAGAAGTCTCTCTGGTTTCCCTCACCGGAAGAAACCAGAGAGAAGGCCAGAGAGAAGTCCTTCTCTCTGGTTTCTTCCGTATTCTTTTTTTTTTTAAATTTTTTTTTAACTTTTTAATAATTAATGTTATTTTATTTTAAAAAATAAATTTTATTATAATTTTTTTTTATTGTTAACAAAATTATTAATTATATAAAATGGTTAATTATACAATTCTATCTCATTTTTCAGAAAATGAACTAAACACACAAAGACTGTTTTCTGTCGTGCTGCCAAACACATGAAAGGAAAATATTTTTCAGAAAATGACTCATTTTTCAGAAAACATATTTCAGAAGTCATTTTTCTGTTTTCCAAACGGACCCTAAAGTTAAGAGGCATAATTGAACTCTTGGGTAAAGTTTAAGGGTCTATTTGACCATTTTCCCCTTATGAATTAGTAGAACGAGAAAATTCAGAAAGAACAAATGAAAGTTAATTAAACCTACCATCCTTGAAACTTATTAGGAAAGTCAACTAGTCTTCAAACAAAATCTTTGTTAGGCCATGGGGAGGCAGGGCAAGCACACTTAACCCCCTCTTAGGACAATTTCGCTACAAAGTCTACAACCCTAATTTGTTCCCTATAAACGTACCTCCACAACACTTTGATAAGGAGTAGACATAGTTATTTTTTGGAATCAGTTAGACAGAACGTGAAATCCATAAAAGAGAAAATGAAATTGAAGTAAACCTATTGGTTAACGGCGGTCAACGGTGAATAACGATAATGTTACTGATAACCTATTAGTTACTGGTAAACATGGCATATTTGACCCATTTTGACACATTTGAATGTTTAATACACCTTTTTAAAGTGAAATGCCTTAATTGAACTCTTAGGTAAAGTTCAAGAATCTATTTGACCATTTTCCTTTTATAGAATCAGTAGAACGAGAAAATCTAAAAAGGATAAATAAAAGTTAATTAAACCTATCTACCACCCTATGAATCTTAGGAAAGCCAAATTAGTCTTCAAACAAAATCTTTGTTAGGTCATGGGGAGGCTAGGCAAGCACACTTAACACCCCCCCCCCCCCCCCCCTTCCCCTCCGCCTCCCTCTCCCTCAAAGACAGTTTTGCTAGAATATCTAAAACCCTATTTTGTTCCTTATAGACATGTCTCTACAACACTTTGATAAGGAGTAGGCATAATTATTTTTTGGCATCAATTGGACAGAAAATCTATAAAAGCGCAAACGAAATTTAAGTAAACCTATCTACCACCTCTAAAACTAACTTAAGAGGAACAAACTAATCTTCACGAGACCATGGAGAGGCCAAGCAAATCCATGTACCCCCTCTCATAACAGATGGACAATTTTACTAGAAAGTCTACAACCCTATTTTATTCCTTATAAACATGCCTTTACAACACTTTAATAAGGGTAGGTAAAATAGTGTTGAGTCCTAATAAGAGTGAAGATAAAACTAAAATAAGCATATGTCTGTCCTATAAATAAGAACATTGTCCCGTAATAAGATATTTCGTTCTTTCCTAACACCTTTATATTTCATTACCAAAACTATGTTAAAAAAAAAAAAAAAAAAAAAAAAAAAAAAAAAAAAAAAAAAAAAAAAACACAAATCCTTTTATGCCACCTGTCGTAAGTTGTTAATTAGTATCAAATGTTAATTCTTTAGCATTGCACCAAAACCTAACACATAAGTCAGGAAATTAACTCAACTTCTACATTTATCATTTTAATCTAACTAGTATTTTTCGTCAATCTAAACATCTGTGAAGATCGAAAGGGGGGGCTGCAAAGGCTAAAACCCCAAAAAAAAAGACAAGTAATTTTGGGAGGTGAAGATCATATCAGCAGATGTATACACAGTAATAAACTAGGGTTTTGTCCTTATTCCTGCTTGGGGCGAGCCAACCAGAGAGCACTGAGAGCTCTGAGGCGGTGGAAGTACTCAGCAATGGCGAGTAAACACCGCGCCGCCTGACGGGTCGTTAGAATCTGATGAAGCCGATGCATCGTCTGGTGTCGCAGATTGTCAGCCTGCAATAATAATATTATTAAATTAATTAATTAATTAATTAAAACCCTAATAAATAAATAAACAAATTTGTTTCTTCCACAAACAAGACATAATTAAAAACGTTAATAGCATCGATGACTTCTCAGAATTATTCATGCATTTTATCGTTGACTTTGGTGGGGTTTCTACATAATTCTGTTGACTTTGGTTTATACTTTATTTGAATTAACTATGAGATACACTGTACATCGTCTGGTTCTGTTTCAACCAAAGAAATTATATATATAGAAATTTAATTTAGATATCTATATAGGATAGCTTAAATAAATGTTATAAGTAACCAAATAAATAATTAAAAGTAGTTAGTTTTAATTAATAGATATAATAATCAACAGTTAACCAACTAAAAACATGATTAACCCAACTTAATTAAAATTTATTTTTCATCGTTGTTAGAGAACGGATAATGACATAATCTAGACTAGTTATATGAACTTCATGAGATCTTACAGAAGTATGATACGTGCTGCTAGCATCAAATTTTGTAACATCTAATTAATGTGTTTAAGTTAAGTATTACAATTATTATAATGTCCATTGACAAATCGTTAATAATTGTGAGTTAATCAAATGAAACATCTACTATATAAAAAAAATTGATTTTTAATCATCAAAGAGTGATTGAAAACTTAGGGTTTTCAGTCAGAAATGACATTTCCACCTAATTTGGGGATCTAAAAAAATCTGAAAAGTGAATGTAAATTAGGATTTTTGACCACTTCTGGGCCATCATCAAGGGTGGTTGGAAATTTTGAAAAATGTCATTTTTTTCAATAGTTTTATCTTGTCTTGGAACGTCTTTGGCTTTACTAGAGAAAGTTTACTAAAGATAAAAGTCTTTCTCTCTTGACCTGATCATATACTTAATTTTTTTGAGATATATAGTATCAAAAGTTAGTCGAAAATTTATGATTTTTCATAATCAAATGAAGTCATATCAAATCGTTAGAAGATGGGCAAGCAACTTTTACAGATGGGTTGGATGGGCTCCTAAAAATAAAATAAGATAAGATAAAGGAGTTGTTCAAGTCAAATGGTTATGACGACTATGACATCATGGGAATATGGGCATAAAATTAACTATGAAAGGGATGTATTTGTGGCTTTCCACTCCAATTTGGAAGTGCCATTTCTACAAGTTTGTGCTGGTGTGACTTCAATTCTTCCCCAGAAACTCATGCAATATATTATGGTGATGTATGTTATTTGGTGGACCACTCTTATGAAAAAAAAAAACACAAAAGAAAATATTAGTGGGGCCAACAACATACGATTGATATGATGGGACCCACATGTGAAAGCCAATATGGCATGACAAACTTTATCTGTTATATTTGGCTATTTTCACTAGAGAGACTGTGAGCTGGAGATGGAATGGAGCTGAGATAGGTCATCTGATATGATGGAGTAGGTTTCCCAACCCCAGTTAGGACTTTGGAGTATCAAATTCATGTTCTCCTTGTCCCCACTTATTCCCTTTTTCACTTTATATATATACATACTCTATATGCATATGCATATATATACATTTCTAACTATAAATTTACATTAATTAGTGTGTATTCATATGTAGTTATGATTTATTAAAGCTTACTAATTGCCTTGACTAAATGGTGGCACTTTATGCTTGATTTTAGGGTCTACATAAATTTAACGTATCCGGAATTCATGGGTCTACATATATTTATTGTCAAGTAATATCTGCGTGCGTTACGAGTGTGCATATGTGCGTGTGTGTTACGACACTTGGGAAGCATGCAAGTGAGAAGAACAAATGGTATAACATTCGCGGCACAGGTTAGGTATAGACATACACGTGTAACCAGAAATTTATGACACTGACACGTATAGTTAGTGAGTAATATCTTATATGATGACGTGAGATAATAAGTTGGATAGGGTCAGGGGCGTACCTGTCGAACGAAACCCTCGAGAGTGGAGAGCTTGGTAATGGCGGCAGCCATTTGACCCATGTAGTTGCCCATGTTGGAAGGGTAGCTGAGTGAATCGGCGGCGATGGTGTCGGAAAGTGAGTGATTCAAAGCTCCCAAGCCTTGTGATAAAGCCTCTTCAGCTTCATGTGTGGATTGTTGCAGCCCACATAGCTCTATCAATTGTTGCTCCGTTAACGGCTCGATCTGACTCACAATCACCTATAACAAAAAATAACCAAAAATCATAACTCAATCAGATCTAATTAATTTGCGATTATATATCAATTATTAGTTTAATTGTATGTGTACAAGCAAAAGGGATGCAGAGTGACATGAACAAACCAAAGAGGGTAGTAACAGACATGGCTTTAAGATGGGGCGGGGAATAATACCTAACAGGATCCGATTACAGAAAGTTTCAGCATATGATCGACCCGTTTCGTCATTCCTAGCTTCAATTGATTTACATAACACTCAATTATCTGATCTTCTCACTCTCCGACAAATCGTACATGCATTTCAATTTCCTCTTTTAATCTTTCCCCCATTTTTCATTAATTATTGATTTCCCGATCGGTTTTGAATTGATCGCATACAATGATACAGGCAAGGAAGTAAATTAGGGTTTTCAATTCTGCGATATGATGTAATGTAATGCAATGTGCATACCTTGAGAAGTTCAGATGGCCGGAAACCGCCCATCCACATGAAGCAGCGCTCCGCCGGAGTCTTCCACATGCCGGAGACGAGATGGAAGACGTCGGATTTGGCGATGATGCTCTTCAGGTGGATCATCTGATCGAAATGCGCCAGACAGTTGTCGACGTACATCCTCAGCTCGTTCTCCGGCAAGTGCTCCTGCACCGCGCTCCGCAGCTCGCACAGCAGCCGGTGGTGCTCCTCCTGCCACCGCGCGTACTCCATGTCGAAAACCGCCGCATCTGAAACCCCCAAAACGTATCGTAACGGCACAATATATAAATACCAATGTTATTTAAATTTATTATTATTGGAAATAAGATTAAATATAATTTTACCTGAACTTATGTTGCCCATCACGGGAAGCCCTTGCTCTCCACCTATAATGGCACTCCCACCAAAATAAATTCCCTACAAATTTTTTAAAATACATATTCCCAATATTAACAACACAAAGTAATTAATTTATGAAATGTATATATAAATATAATGAAAATTAAATTACTTGAGCCCTGGCCCTTTGGAGTTCTTGTTCTAATTGAGTCAGCTTGATTCTACTTGTCTCTAATTGTTGAACATAAGCCTGTAATGATATTGAGTGAGAAATTTTCATTTTCATAATAATAATAACAACCGCGGAAATGCAAATGCTTTTTTATCAAATACAATTATATATACTATTTTAGTTATAGTTGATATAGTCAACTTAGTCTCTGCAATATCTGGCATAAACAGACATGCAGTACTACTGACTCTGTTATAATGTAGTATCTGTTTATAGTTACTTTTTCAACATACTAAAGCACAAACACCCCTTATAGCCTCCTATTTGAGAGAGTCATTTGGTGTCACTAGACCAGATAATAATAATTAAAAAAAAAAAAAAAAGAAATCATGCCTTTTTCCTAAGTCTGCTTTTCCTGGCAGCCTCTCTATTCTGAGCAAGCCTTCTGAGTGTCTGCACATATACACAAGAGTAAAATCCAAATTGATTTTGCAAAAGAATAAATATTAAAATAAATAAAAACTACTAAAAAAAAAAAAAAAACAACAACAACTACTCCATTATACATACAATCATATATACCCAACAACAACAATAACAACTGTTGATAATAATAATAATATGAAAACCTTAGGATCTGGTGTTTTTGGACCGTCGGACGGGTCAGCGGCGGTGCCGGCAGAGGAACTCCGGCGGTGTCCTTCCCGCTGCAGATATACAATTACGATTAAGGTGATATAATAATGAAAGATAAATACAAAATATACAAACCTAATTCTTACACGTACATACCTTAGGTGGCTTGGGTGGTTCGGGAGTAGAAGACGCAGAAGCGCCGGCAACGACGTCGTTTTTAGGGGTGGCTGACACCTCCATGGACGGCTGAGATGCTCTCCTGGAACTCCCGGTCTCCAGCGAAACTAACCCAGCATTCCCCTACCAAACCCCCCATTCAAAATTCAATTAAAAATCCAAAATTTTCTAACAATCATTTGGAAAAACCAAACATCCTTAACGACTCCTCATCCCAAGATTCATATATATATTCATACATATATAACATAGCTGCACAACCTAATCCGGCTAGGATCACAAGACGGAATTTACCTATAGATTACACTTTTAGTAGTGTTTCTCTCGTTACTAAAAAAGAAAAAAAGATTCATGTACATATATACATACATAAATAGTATAATACCTTGTTGGTCGATGATGGGTCGACATGCATGGGCTGTGAAGGAAAGATGTTCAGAGTTGGTGGCCTCATCCCAGAATTCTCTGCAAATATCCCAAAAAGAGCCAAATATTCATACAAAATTTACAGAAAACAGTGAACCGTACAGTCGTTAGTACGATAAAGATTGGCATCAAGTTTGTTTCATGGTACAAGGAGTGCAAGAAACTAACACACACAGAATCAATTCTTGAAACAAAAAAATTATTTTTTTTCTGGGTTCTGGAGAAGAGAGAATCAGGATCTGGTCAAATAAGAAAGTACTGTGAGATATTTGTTTGTCAGGAAACATTCATTTCTCATGAGCCAGACAAGAATTCCTCCACAGAATCTCATCTCATCTGACCAGACCCAAATTTGAACAAAACCAAAATAGAGATAGAGAGAGAGAGCTAACGTCTGTGATCTTGGATGGATGAGGATTCTTGATGGCCATCAAGGTAGAGGAAAAGGGCTTGATCTAACTCCCCCAGGTCATATGCTCCACTGCTGTCCTTGCTTCTGATGATCACAAAAAGAAAAAAACATCATTAAAGAATACTGAGAATAATTCAGATGTTACTTTCAAATGGTTAGTTCGGATTGTAAGTCAAATAGTTTGTGGAAAAAAAAAAAAAAAAACATGAAAATCAAGAGAGAGAGAGAGAGAGGAAGAAAGATAGGATTTTATTACATGAAATTCCCAGGATGGGGAGGAGGAATAGCGGATGAAGAAGAAGGTGGCGAGTGGAGCATTCCGAACGAAATCTGATTACTCTGCGGCTGCGGCGGCGGCTGGTGGTGGTGGTGATCTTGAAGCTGGAAATGAAGCTGCGGCGGCGCCACCGCCGCCGGCTGAGCAAACGAAATCTGATTACTGCATCCAACGCTACTGTGCTGCTGCTGCTGATGATGATGATGATGTTGCTGTTGCTGCGTTGGATCGCTGCTTTTCCCGGAAGCCATTAGAGGAACTCCAACAAACACCTTATCTCCACTGTTATCCTGATGATGGTGATGGTGATGGTGATGGTGATGATGATCGCTGTGCAGCTCAAAAAGAGCTCTCTCAGAACCCATATATCAAACCCCTAACAAAAACGATACCCACAACCAAAACTGATGAAACCTACTCTATCTACCCCTCGTCGCCGGCGTCGAGAATCTCCTCACGACCATATCCCCGCCGTCTGAAACGAAACGGAGAAGAAGAAGAAGAAGAAGAACACCATAGCTTAAAAGCTGCAGGAGATCAGATCAGACAAGAATTACAGCAAAAGCTAGCAGAGATAACAAAAAGATAATCGAGAGACTTCAATACGTGCAGACTTAGCCACTGCTGCAACGACTTTTGTTCTCTCTCGCTCTATAATAAGAAAGAATATATAAGAAAACGGTTCCGGCCCCTCGGCGAAACCATCCAAGACTGGAAGAGAGAGAGAGAGAGAGAGAGAGAGAGAGAGAGAGAGAGAGAGAGAGAGGGAGAGATGCTTATAATCTCCTTAAAGAAAACATCTTTAACATCTGGCTTCCTTGTCCGACCATCTCAGTCTAAGGATAGTGAAATGACGAGAAAGCCCTTGCTCTCCCTTGCTTATTACCATTGACAAGTTCATGCAGCTTTTTGAACTTACACGTACAACAGTGACGAGGCGACTCCTTTTTCCCCTTTTTAATCTTTCATTTTTTTTTTTGGAATAATTGGATCATATATCTGTTACTTTCTCAATTTACTGAAACACAATTAATCAATACCCGTTTTTATTAGGCTCAAACTCATGACCTCTTATTTAAGAGAATACTAGACCACAAGATCATTGGTTGGGATCATGTATCTAAAAATAAATTTAAGTAATACTTTTCATCTAGTGGGGAAAATTTTATTGTGTGTATAGGAGTAGGTTTTTTTTATTTATTTTTACTTATTTGCCTTAGGACTTACTTGGCAGATATTAGGTGAAATATTTTGCACTTAAAAGTCTTTTATTCTACCTTGCTTGTTGACAATTCTAAGAGAATTTTGTATTGGCATGCTTAGTTTAATTTCCTTGTATACACACTAACAAACTCTGGTCTAAATATAAGGAATTTAATTCTTGTAAGTAAGATATTTTATTTCAAATTGTGTAAATAAGTTGAGAAAATTGGTGAAATAAATCATTGAATTAGTGACAATAGTGTAATTACATTACTGATATAAGGAATTTAATTCTTTGAATTTGTGACAATAGTGTAACTAGATTACTGATATAAGGAATTTAATTCTTGTAAGTAAGATGTTTTATTTCAAATTGTGTAAATAAGTTGAGAAAATTGGTTGAATAAATCATTGAATTAGTGACAATAGCATAATTAGATTACTGAAATTGTAAAAAGTGGATCACGGGCATCTAGCGTGCTAAAATCGTGAAACTTGTCTAAATATATAGTCGGTGATATCATGAAATCCAATTAAATACCTTGTCACTTTAAGTTTATAATGTTAATTTTTAAAACTACTGACTGACAACATATTTGTTAATGCGGCATCCTATGTTAGTTAGTGACAGGCTGACAGCAGTGTAATTAGTGCTATTGAATTTATAAAAAGTGGACAACATCTAGCGTGCAAAAATCGTGAAACTTGTCTAAATATTCGGTAATATCATGTAATCCAATTAAATATCTTACTTGGCATTTTAATGTTATAACATCAATTTTTAAAACTATTGACATAGAACTTCTCCACATATTTGTTAATGCAACATTCTATGTTAGTGACTATAGTGCAATTAGATTATTGAATTTATAAAAAAGTGGGCTACATCTAGTGTACAAAAACTGTGAAACTTGTTTAAATATATAGTCGGTGTTATATCATGCAATCTAATTAAATACCTTACATGGCACTTTAAGTTTATAACGTTAATTTTTAAAATTATTGACAAACAGCTTCTCTACATATTTGTTAATGCGACAACCTATGTTAGTGAGAATAGTGTAATAAGACTATTGAATTTATAAAAAGTGTGCCACATCTAGCGTGCAAAAACCGTGAAACTTGTCTAAATATTTGGTGTTATCATGTAATCCAATTAAATACCTTACATGGCACTTTAAGTTTATAATGTTAATTTTTGAAACTATGGACATACAGCTTCTATACATATTTGTTAACGCGGCAACCTTTGTTAGTAACAATAGTGTAATAAGACTATTGAATTTATAAAAAGTGGACCACATATAGCGTGCAAAAATCGTGAAACTTGTCTAAATAGTCGATGATATCATGTAATCCAATAAAATACCTTACCTGCCACTTTAAGTTTATAACGTTAATTTTTAAAGCAATTGACAAATAATTTATGTACATATTTTTTAACGCGGCATCCTATGTTAGTGACAATAGTATAATTTTAGACTAATGAATTTATAAAAAGTGGACCACATCTAGTGTGCAAAAATTGTAAACTTGTTAAATAGCCTGTGATATTATGTAATCTAATTAAATACCTTACACCTTTAATTTTATAATGTTAACTTTTAAAGCAATTGACAAACAACTTCTCTACAAATTTGTTAACACGGCATCCTATATTAGGACAATAGTGTATTTAGACTATTGAATTTATAAAAAGTAGACCACGTGCATCTAGGGTGCAAAAATTGTGAAACTTGTCTTAGTAGTCTATAATATCATGTAATCCAATTAATATCCTATAATCCAGTTAAATAAATTATTGACACTTTAAATTTATGATTTTGAATTTTAAAGCAACTCAATAATGTTGCTTCCTATGTCAAGGGAGAGAACTTTATGGCCTCCAATATCTTCTAATCCAGTTTAATGGCATATCTGACACTTTAAATTTGTAATGTTAAATTTGTTAGGGCAATCACAATAGTAATATTTGGGATGATTTCTGAAGAGACAATGTTTATGTGGAAGAAAGAGAGAGAAGGAGCTGGGTAGCTACAGACCTGATTTTTTGTCTACAAAGTAAGACTTACCTAAAAAAAACTGCCACATTTACCGCATGATGTGCACAGAATGCGCCCAACCGGACGTGTGCAATCCACGTGCCCGTTGGGCGCGTTAATTTGACAATATTCCTTTCTTTTTTTTTTTTTTTCAGATTTTGATTTTTTTTTTCTTTTTCTCTTCCCTCCTAACTTCTCTTTTCTAAACCTGCAAAAATTCCTCAAAATCTCCAACTATTGTGAATGCTCTAGCTATTGATCTGACATACAACTTGTTTTCAAATTCATCAACATTGCCTCCTACGTAAGATGAGGAAACTATTCGACATTTTCTTGCCAATATTATCGCAACCTCGTGACCAACTTTTTTGAAGCTATATATATTAGGCAAGTTACATAATTTTGGCTTACTATATGGGATAAGTTGTTGGTTTTATCCACTTACATAGCTTATCTGACACTTAAAATTTCAACCATTGAAATTTTGAAGTTGCTAACTGGCAGCTTCTATGTGGATTAGCTAACAATATTAAGTATTAAGTGTATATAACGTTATCATTATGTGTACCAATGTGAAAAGGTAAATTACTTAGAGTATTAAATGAAAATAATACACTTTTAAGTGATTTTACTTGCACACATGCATCAGTTACTTGTACTTTTAACATATGTTACTTGAACTAAAGTTTGAATTATTATTTACAAAAATGTCACCGTATTTTTTAAAAAAAATTACATATGATGCATTAGATCTTGACAGATGGACGATTGTGATTAGTTCTCATTCCTCTCCTAAGCGGTCGTTCTCACCTGCACGCACCCATATATATATATATATATATATATATATATATATATATATATATATATATATATATATATATATATATATATATATATATATATATATATATATATATATATATATATATATATATATATAGACACACACACACATCCTAGGGAACAGAACAGGGTTGCTGATGCAATTGCCAACGAAGTTTTACATCAGGAAGAGGAGCACCGGATCATTGAACATGCGCCGCACAACATTCTGGGACGCTCGCGTGATGACGAGATTGACAGCTTTTTGGAACTACGAACACTGTGAGGATCAACTACTGATCCAGGTCCCTGCACAACATTCTGGGACGCTTGCGTGATGACGAGATTGGCAGCTTTATTGGTAAAGGGACGAAATATGCAACGTCAATAATAACTTAGGGACGAAAAGTGAGTATGACCAACACTAGGAACGAATTTTACAATTACACTATAACTTAAGGACGAAAACTGTAATTTTTCCTTAAACTAATTAACTCGCTAGAGTTGAGAAAAAAAATATTACAAATAAATTAAATATGATTATTTGCCATCAAAAGTACTTTTCTATATATTTGTTTCAACTAAAATTTCAATAATTTTGTTTATTTTCATTCAATTAATTTAATCAATTCATACAATTCTATATCCACAATTTCAATAATTTTGTTTATTTTGTTTAGATTGTTGTTTGTTTGTATATCAAAAAGCGAAAACACGAGCAAAAGGCCGGCTTAAAATCTCACCCCCTATTCTCGCCTTAAAGACATGTAAAGGTACCAAATTCTTGAAACGTTTTGACTTTTGACGAAGATAAAGTTCGACTCACACGTATAAATTTGATTGATATTATCTAATTGACCAAATTCTTGAAACGTTTTAACTTTTGACGGAGATAAAGTTTGACTCACACATATAAATTTGATTGATATTATCTAATTTACCAAGTAATTAGCATATATATATATATATATATATATATATATATATATGTGTGTGTGTGTGTGTGTGTGTGTGTGTGTGTGTGTGTGTGTGTGTGTGTGTGAGATTAACGTCACAAAAAGTATCGTAAGGTGCGTATTTCTTGTGTAATATAATAGTATAATAAAGTTACATGTGGTCTCTTAATATTAATTTTTATTTAAAATAAAAATATTTATATAAAATTCCCTAATTTCCATTTATCTTGAAATTAAGTATACCAAAAAAAAAAAAAAAAAGTTGGAACTGAAATTCATATTTTGTCTAGCATCCATGAACATCATGAATAACACAAGCTTAGCTTGAACTTAGAACCTTATACTTCAATTCATCATAAACATATGCATGCATTCACCAACCTAATTTATTCATCCAATTATATTATTTGAATTTAAATAATCATATAGAACTCACAACCTCTCACATAATAAGGGAGCAACTTGGTGCCATTAAACCACAAGGTCATTGGCAATCATACTAAATTCAAATTACTATTAATATAAAAAGGTATAAAATTAAATTTATTAAATTTAATAAGTTTATGCTCCAAACCTATTGGTCACTCGCCGTTCATACCTAAAAAAAAATGGATAGATGAAAAAAATTACGGGATGTACCTCAATTGACAAATATAAAATTAAATTTAGAGTTAATACCCAAA